ACTGTACGAAGATGGATTTCGCGAGTCGAGTTAAATGCGGTACCATCGATTCACCTACTCAGTAATTTTTCTGTGAAGGAAAAAAAAAAAAGAAAAAAAAAAAAAACGGATAAAAGTAACAATAGCCGAGTGGATGCGTCGAGTTTACGAAAATTTCTCAAAGCTCATCATCCGCGTAACAACGCAGCCACTGCGCTCACAATCCCCCTCTTTCTGTTCGTCTCAAACGAGGTCCTCCTTCTCTTTCCTTCGATGACACCGGCGTCTTATTTCCCTTCGTTTACTTTTCCATCCCGGCCATAATCCCGCGTGGACCCATGGAAAATCCGAAAATCGGCCGCCTCCCCGCTGCTGCATCCCGGCCCGTCCTTCGGAAGATTATCCTTGCCGTTCCCCCTACCCCCGTACTCCCCGATTTTCCACGTGCGCACACAAACCCAAGCTTCTTTCGAGCACCACACGGACCATACACCCCATACACCCCAAGAACGGGGGAGGAATGCGTCGTGAGATTTTTCCCAAGCTTTTGTGTAAAGGTATATACATGCATACACGTATAGACATAATAACATCGAAGGTTACTTTCGGAGATCGGCTGTTTGTAAATACAAGAGGGAGAAATAGAGGCACGAGTTTGCGCTCCACTCGGGACTTGACGTATATCCATCCGGCTGATGTGTCTCTGTTGTATGCGTATACATACGTATACTTGTATTATACATTGTACACCCGATGAGTGCAAGAGAGGTGCTAATTCTCGAATCGAGTGCGCGTACACGAATGAGAAGGCAAATAAGTATATATAATGTGTATAGGTGGGATGGAAACTTGCGCAGCTGTGACGATAAAATAACGCGAGGAGAGAAAACAGCTGTTGCTTATAAGCTCGTAAAGTGGACGCAATAATGCGATTGTTAACGTGTGCAGCGACGATCTGGTGGAATTAGTCCTTGGGGTTGACCTGTAGGGATCGATGGATCCAATTATCTTACATGGATATTGCCGATCGCTGCGTTTAGCCGATTGGAGGCGATTTTTCCTTCGAACACGACGCAATACAGGAATATTGGTACCAAAGTTTTTCGAACGATCGACGTACTTTTTCAATCAAACACGCGCGAGTGGAACTCTTTTTCTATAGTAAGTACACGAGACACAAAGGCGCGTGCTATATTCTCGATTATTTTCATACATGCGCGTTACACCCGGATAATTGATCGCGAACGAGTACAATAAATGGTGAGTCACTCCACGCATATATATATATATATGTACACCTATATACATGCCCGATGTATACACGGAGTAAGTAATTTTTCGATGACTCAGCCCACATATATGACGATAACAATTCCATACGTTTACGCGTGAATTAAACATTATAGAATGTAGCTCGTCGAAGCGCGTGTGTTCGACGCAACACTCGCGTAATACCGATTTCCGGGTACAAAATATATACCCACAAAGATTTTATCATTGTGCCCAGCCTGCAGTAAATTACAGTCCTAGGTATAATATATATACACTGTATATGAATCGAAGCGAAGGGAGCACGCGCCCGAAAGCACACCGTGGCCTTTCGTCCGATGCAGACGTGATCAAAGGGATAAAGGCAAATCAAAAACAAAAAGCCGGGAGGGGGGTGATACTCGTGCACGCGCGAGGCGACGCGATCGTAAAGCCATAAGAAAAAAGTCAGGTACTGTTGCACGCGTGTATATGTATTATATTGTAAAACTCGATGGCGCACTACAGGGGTAAAAGGAACGAGGTCGTGTGCGATGCCGGATAGACAATAACACCGGCTTTACGTGGTACGTGTATCCGCTCCGAGAGTTTCCAAGTTTTGCGGCTGGTGATGCGCTTGCAGGGGGAGGAGAGGACAAAAGAAGGAGCCCCACACACTTGCACGAGCTTTAATGGCCGTTCGGCGAAACTTGCTCTCCGATATATTATGTGGTTAAGCGCTGGAGATGGGTACAATAATGGCTAGTTCCCTGATGTTTATTTGTTTGGCGTATATGTATGACAGGTACTGCCGATCTCCGATCGTTAAACAAATCCTTTTTTGCATAAGCTCGATGCTTGCAATACTTTAATGCTTTCTCGTGTCAAAGAAAACTTGATGATTTACCGACATTGTGCAACAACAAAATCTACACGTACTTTTGTAGACAAAAAATGGAAAAATCGGTAAGCGAGTAAATGACTCGTACGAACGTTGTACCGTGCCGATTTTGGACTCTCCTTGATACTATACACATACACGGTATTTACGAAAAATCCCTCACCCACGCGGTCGTACGTAATCGGCACCCACCGTGCGTGCATGAATAATCGCTATCCTTATTTGTACCCATCAGCATGGACATGTACACTTTGAAAGGGGGCCAACTTTTTCGAAAAAACGAACGGCAAACACAAAAAAATAAAAAATTGAGAGTATAGCTGCTCGGGGAAAGAGACCGGTAGTGCCTGCAGTCGCGATGTGGTAAGCTTGCGTATACGTGAGATGAAAAAAGTAGAGGGAAAAAAAAAGATCTCGCACCGCGTCGTCGTGCGAGGGAGCACACACAAGGCGCTCATTGTCGAGAGCCAACGCGTATATTATACATGTACGATGCAGCACGTGAAATGAAGGCTGGGGGGAGAGAGAGAGAGAGAAAGCTGGATAACTGAATTTTTCGGTACGAGTCAAAGCGAAATTTATTACTTACGCCGCTCTGCGGAGCCGTGGCAGTGTATATATATACGTACTTGCTTGCAAGTACAGCTGGAAGGCACTGCTTTGAACTTGAGTCGCGCGCTTGTATACGTGCACGTATAGGTATACGTACATTTCCGGGAGGTCGACGAACTTTCGTGAACTTAATCGCGTTATCGTCGTGCGTACAACGTTCGTATCGTACGAAAGCGAAAGTGGGCGCCGGTGGCGTTACCTTTTTCCATTTTTCATTTTTTTTTTTTTTTTTTTTCTAGTTTGTCGCGATACTCGGTGCGAGGGGAAAGGAAAATTAAGCTTTGCCGGGAGAAGGAGAGCTTTGAGTGCAGCTTTTCGACCGGCAGCAGAGCCGTTTCGAATTCACAACGTCAAACGAGAGAGACAGGCGTATATCGTGTTTTGACGATTGAATCGGAATAGAGTATATGAGGAGCTCGAGTTTCGTTTCCGTAGCCCTTGCATGTGAAACACACGAAAAGTAAAATATAGTGCATTAACAATGGGGTGCGAGCAAAGGCTCGTGAGTCAGTGTATGCGTGTACTACGTGTCGGGCAGGATAATAATTTATTTAAGTACCGCAGACCACTCTCGGAGTCATTAAAAATAACAAGTGTACCCCGCGCGGGGGGTCATCCTCGAAAGAGCATTTGTCAAAACGGCACGAAGCTCTCGCCTGTGCGCGCGTTGGGAGGAGATAAAACAAGTACAAAGAGAGGAGTATAATATTTTTTTTTTTCCCCTTTACGAGCGTCACCAGTACCTATACCTACACGGGAACAATGCAGCCAAAAACACAAAGAAGCTGACTGTGACTCTTTACGTATGCGCGTGCCGAGAGAGAGAGAGAGAGGAGCCGAGTCATTTGCGCGTCCGATAAGAGTCTGCGCCGCAACTTCTGATGCTGATAACAAGCGGGGCATGATAAAATATGTAATACCTGTTTTGTATACCTGTATACGGTTACTTACCTTGGAAAATAGATTCTCATTTGTTGCACGTACCGCGGGCGAATTTCGCCTCAAAGGGACGCCGGCGAATAAAGTATCGATGCGAGCGGTTCTTTGGGTAATCGAATCGTATATCGTGCGCGTGTGCGACCGAAGGGGATATATATATATATATACGAAGCGGAACCGTTAGGTGCACCTCTGCGTATATACTCGTTGCGCGGAATGTTGTGTAATAAGTGTACAATATGTACGTGACTTTATTTTTTTTTTTTTCCCCTTCCTTTCGAGTTAAATTAGGCGTCCATTAGCGTTGCATCGAGTGGTGACACTTGCTACTTTCAAAGTCAATCGATGTTAAAATAACGCAGCTGTTGAGTTATTTTCAGTATATACGTATATTTCTACTCACATCGGTACTTGTACACAATAATAGTGTGTTCTCAAAGACGTGTGTTTACGCGTCGATCGTTAATCACGTGATAATCATCATGCCCCGGGCAATCCATTAAATACCCGTGTGTTATCTCTCCTCGTGCAGATAAGCGCGATACAATTCGAATTAGGGAAGTGTTGATCATTGCTTATCTGCAATAGGTATGTGGGTGAGTGCCGATGAACAAAAATCATTGTCTGCATGTAAATATACCCAAGTGAATTTTGTAATCGGGTCGTTGGTTTGTGTGTGCCCCCAACGCCCCTCCTTTTTCCAAACTATCGGAGTTAGCCGGTGTCTACTGGACGAAAATTACCGACAAAATGACATTTTTATGACCCCTTCGCGAATCGCGTCGAATTTCCGATGGTAAGTATATTCCCCCTCGTTGGTGAAAAATAAAAAACGAAACTGCCCCACTCTCTGCCTATCGTTATCGTTAAACAATAACGATCATTACCGGTCACTTGTACGAGTATCATGTTTTCCTGAGCGTACAATTCTATTCGATACCTTATTGCATTTCGCAGCATCGCTAAATAGGTATAGTATCGCAGAAATGCACTTTCAAATCCCGCCTGGGCGCGCATCCTCTAAAACTCTCGGAGAATCTTGAGATCCCCTTTTTTTTGTGCCCACACGAACCCACGCTTCGCGGGTTTGGGAGACGAGAGGATCCCGGCGTGCGTTTCCCTGCAGCTCCTCCGCCTCTTTCTTTCCTTTTCCTTCTTTCTTCGGTCAGATTGTATCCCCCGCTCTGTCTCTCGGAGCGGCAGCCGAAAGTCACGCGCTCGTTGCAGCTCCGCGCAGTCATGCGGAGGGTATCCATTAGCGCCCGATGCCAGCGCGCCACGACCCCGGCACGACAGTCTTCGGCTTCTGCAGCGCCAGTCTCGCACCGGCCTTTCGACGGTCCGGAGTTCACTGCTGTCGGTGGTGGGCGCCGGAAGCATCCGTGTCGTGCACCAACCATACAGGCGTACTGTAATATAATATAAGGACGTCAGCGCGTTTTGGGCTCCGTTTTATACAATAGCTTCTGGCCAAGAGGTACATACATTGGAAACATACAATTTTCATTTATTAGTCAGTGATTCTGATGATTGCGTAGTGGGTGGTGGTTGTTGTTTCGTACGATGTGCCGTGTGTGCGATGGATACCTGCTTTTGGAGTCGATCAGTGTACAGGACGAGGGATCCATCGACGTAAATATAATGTGCGAACCTGTATCTAGTGTTTTCTTGTGCCCCGATGCCGTTGTATTGGCCAAGTTTCACCCAAACCAAGAGAGATCGGTAGTTTCCTAATTGTGAATAATTTTCTCGTGCAACAAGTGGACCGTTGGTGGAAGAGAGAGCTTCAGTCGGGCTTTAACTAAAAAAGAAAAACAATAGTTAAGCATTACGATAAGCATTAATGCGTTGGTTAGTCATCACACAAACCGTATTGCCGATACGCTCTAATCGTTGTAGTGCTTGAAAAATTGACAAAAGTATCTTAAAACGACTATTATGCCATTTAGAATTGAATTTCCCCAAACAGTAACTTGCGATAACTATATCGGCCTAGCCTACGGACATTTTGGCCTACTAAAAACACAATCCTAAGCTAGTGGCTCCACGTATTTATACCGATTTCGTAAAACTTCACCAATAACAAGATAGATCCAATAGAGCCGGCAACCGCTAAACAGCCAAACCTTGAAAAGAAAAGAAAAATTTAATTTCAACTTGGTATCAATTGTCCGCTAAGATTCCAGAAAAGAAAAAAAGAAACTTTGGGTGTAGCTTCCACGGAGAGAAATCGGTATTGCGCGAAATCTCGCGAAACTCTGAGTGGGGTGGTGGGGAGGGAAACAAAGCAATATTCGCCTAGCGTGTCATTATCGTCGTCGTGTAGTCCCTTCCTTCTCGTTCACAACTATAATATCAAGCACCTACCCTAACAGACAGAGAGAGAGAGAGAGAGATAAGGAGGGGTCGCTTAGTCGCTTACCGGTGCTCGACTCGCCTGTATACATAATTATGCACAAAACAAGCCGAGAAACCGAACAATCGGACGTGTATAGGTATATACACAGCCAACTATAGCAACTGTATAACCGGTCGCTCGAAAAATCGGCAAGCCACGCAAACGTCACGGTATACATTATATATATATTTATATGGGTACACAGGTATATAATACAAGCTAGGTGGGTGGGTAAGTAAGTATACCCGCACTCGGCCATAAAGCACCAGACGGACAGACAGAGCCAGGCCAGACGGATCAGCTCGCGCTCGCAATTTCCCCATACTTAATGGTCCGACTCTCGTATGTGTATGTATAAAAAAACTACCACACGCTCACCACTGGGATGATTTACTCCCACGTAGATTATCTCTCTCTCTCTTGCTCCTCTGCGCGGTGTGTATGTGTGTATATCATACGCGCCGTATATTACCGAGGACAGCAGCGGAAAAAAAAAATCGGCAAAGAGAAAACGCTGTGCGTCCTAAGAGTATTATACGTATACGCGTATAGGTATACGTGTAGGGTACGTGTATTATAAGAGCCGGAACGAGAGCCGTGTGGAGATCGGCCGAGAGGCTGCGCGGATGAGAGGAGGTGATATGAAGAAGAGAAGGGAAGATAGACATACGCAGGTGTGCATGTGTTTGGGTATATACTTACAACGTATACACACGCGAAGCACGTATAACGGACGTCGTGTATGTACATACAAATTTTTTTTTTTTTTTTTTTCTTTTTTTCATGCAAGCGCTGTTTTATAAGTATACCTACCTGTGGGATGCTTACGCCGGCGTCGTTCTTCTTCCTCCTCCTCCTTTCTCCGCGCTTGTCAGCGATAAAGGCACTCGTTGTGCTCCTTCTGTAATCTCTCGAGCCTCAAGACTCGACACATATGAGTAGGTGCAGCCTGTATACTCCTGCGCAGTGCTTCCACATAGTCGTTACCGTTGCGAGCTTTTGTGCTCTAAGTAGGTACGGACCGATCGGCCGCGAGCGAATCGCGAGTATAACTCCAGAGCTGATCGCATTGTATACATGCGCATACCCATGCACACGTTCGTTACACTCATCGTACACACACGTCGTATGTAATCTGCACGTAGCCAACTACTTCCGCTGATAACTGTAGAGTAGGTTTTCCTCCCCACCGCGACCCCCTTTTGTTCGATCTCGGCTCATTTTAATCTGATCCCCGTATTTTCACGCCAGAAAAATCTGCGCCTCCCTGTGTGCCATTTGTTTAGAAATTACGATCGACAGATGGTGCCTCAAAATTGATTCGTACAGGGAAGCTTTCATTAAAGCTCCGTGATTGACGAGAAAAAAAAAAAAAAAAAAAAAAAACTCATAGAGCACCGATTTCCGATCTCAATGTACGTAGATAATGTGGTTCGTCGATTATTCGCGCGGGAATTTTTAATGTTCTAGCAACTCAGTCCTAATCAAAAGGTCGCGCGTAAACTCTGTACCTGTAATCAGAGAAGCAATTGCCGTTGGGCGTGTAGTACGACCACCTGACGCTGTAGTAATATACAAGAAGCAATAAGGGGACGCCATCGAAAAATGAAAAAACGCACGTACCGAAAGAATAAGAAAACCGACCCTTTTCTCTTTCGGCCGCAACCGCGTGCACCGCAGACACATCCAACACACAATGGCCATTTAATTAATCTCATTATAACATACAATGCCTCGAGTCCGTCTGTCTGCCTTTCCAAACAACCGCACGCACGCACATCACCTTACCAGTGAGGGTACACTTCCTGTGTCTCCATATATCCTCTTTTGTACATATACTTTTATTGTCTTGGGCATCAAAGAGGAACTTACGTCCCATGCACTCGTCGAGAAGGAAAGCGATCGGAGACGGGCGCTCCGACGAATCTCCTGTTTCGACGACAACGCGACATCCGATCGGCCGATCGAAGCGAATACTAATGCCTCCGGGGGCGCCACTACCTCCCTTTCCCCGAAAGTCACTCTACAACTGTCTCCCTCCGGATCGTCGAGTCCATGGGAATGCGTACGTGCGCTTCCTGCCGATCGTCGCTTTTGGTGCTTCTCGTGTTTTCGGAGGGGGAAGCTATCGGTTGACTTTCGTACGTGGTTTTGAAGCAACACCCCCCCCCCCTATCTGTTCTCTAGGCGCTCTTTATTAGCTCGTTTGGGGATATTTGATCGATCGTCGACGCTTTGATTGATCGGCAAGTTTTTACACGAGCCCTTCGCTTCCCCCCCTTGCCATCGGTTATGAAAGTGCGAAGACGCGTCTACAATCATTAACGGTGTCCTAATCGATCGGGCCTTCGGCATGAAAGGGGTATAGGACAAGTCAGGCGAGTATTTTTTTGGGGTCAACAACAGGACTCTGAAAATCGCGAGATCGCTCGATCAGATCAGATAACACCTTCCTCAACTTGGGACGAGCCGTAGAAATAAATCACACTTTTTGCGAGTGCCTTTGGTATACATGTGCCAGACAGGCAAGAAAAATCATCGGCAACGAAACATCATTTGTATCTTTCGATTAATCAATTCTCTAACGAGTTTACAATTAAATTAAGTCCGCGAGGATAATCCAGTGCTCAGACGTGAAATTTTGATCGGTTGTAGAAAAGGCCCGCCAAGATGAAGGGACGGGCAGCCCTGCTGCTGGTCCTCCTGGCGCTGGTGGCTGTGCCCCCGTCGTCCGCGACAACGGCGTCGACACCTGGGCCACCGACGAGACGCGCGTCCACCGCATCGCCAACCAAGAAAATAATCATAAGCACCAGCACCGAGCCCGTCTACTCGACCAAGGCTCTCACCGGCAGCACCGACTCCGAGATCGCCAAGATTCTCAGCGTTGATCCCAAGGAGGTTCTCGTCGAGAACAAACGCTCCGAGGCCGAGGATGACAACACCGAGCAGGCTAGTATCCCTTTTTTTTTTCCATTATCATTATTGTAAATCGCGTTTCGAAGAACAATAAGTAAAAGCTCGCATGTTGAGAGTGCGTTGGGCGAGAAAAACACGAGGTGAGGTCGAGAGGCAAGTGAAACACATAATAAAATTATTCCCATCGGCCATCAGCAGATGCAGGAGGAGATGGCCAAGGTGATAAAGGCTCAGGCGAAGAAGGGTACGAAGCCGGTGCCGATCCGTCTGCCCCTGGGGAAGTCGAGCGCCACAGCCGCGAGCCACGGGGCGCCTGACAGCCAAGCGATGAAGGCCCTGCTGGAGGCCGAGGGTATTCCGTACAACAACGACGAGATAGACGGCGAGGACGAGGACGACGACGAGGACGAATACGATGACGACGACGAGGACGAGGACGACGACGAGGATGACGACGGTGGCATCGCCGACGACGAGGAGGAAGTCATGTCCGGCTGCCCGGACTACTGTCGTTGCGACGAGGAGTTTGCCGCCCCCACGAGCGCCAGGTATCGGGTGTAAAAAATATGTAATCACGCGTAATATTGAAAATAAACTAACAAATTTGTGCGATTGGTTGGTCACAGGTGCACGAAGCTGCAGGATGACCAGGACTTTAGCTCGGGCATCATCCACCTGAAGATCGAGAGCGCGGGCGACATTCGTCTGGGGCCCCTTGCTCTGCGCAAGTTGGGACTGAAGCAGCTCAAGTCGATCAGTATCGTTGACACGAGGATCCTCGAGCTCGACCGGACGGCGTTTGACGGTCTGCGTGAACTCGACGTTGTCAATCTCACCCACAACGGGCTCACTTACGTCCACCCGGACACCTTCCAGAACAACTCGAAACTCACCCAGCTGACTATCGCCGACAACCCGCTCAAGGTCATGTCCAGCAGGAGAAGCAGCAACGATTACCTCTTGAATGCCCCGAGCGTCACCGACTTGGGTAATCCATCTCACGCGTCTGTTATTTTTGCTTTTAATCCGATGATGATCAAGTACCGCGCGTGACGGACAATTTTTATATACATTAAACTGCAGTGATGACGATGAATTTCCAAAGAAGGACAATAATTTACTACTCGGGAGATAAGGGGGGTAGTTACAATGTGTTGTTTAAATGCAGTAGAGATACATTACGATAGCGTCGAAAAAATATGATTCGAGCTTATCTGTTGATCAGTCACTGGCGTAGATACGCATTTTTTTCAAAATCATGTCTGTACACTAACGTAAATCAAATACCGATACAGTCAAAAGAAAAATAAATCAAATTTTTTTTTTTTTTTTTCCTTTAGACTTTTCGAGCAACCACGTGAATCGCCTGCCAAGGCGCGCTTTCGCTAAAATGCCGAACCTTGCCTACATCAGTCTGAGAAACAATAATCTGAACAACATCGAAAGGGATCTGTTTGGGCCCCTGGACTCGCTCGTCGAGTTGGACCTGTCCCACAACAACCTGGCCGATTTGCCTACCGACGTGTTCAAGGGCAAGAACCTGCAGATCCTCAAGATTTCTGGCAACAGCCTGACTTCCCTCAGCGTCATCAGGTAAGTCTGCGTTAAAAACTCGATGAAGCTCAGATCAAATGGATGTTCAACTAACAAATTCAAACAAACTCGAAAGATCGTCGAAACTCGTGACGTTGGACGTCTCGATGAACCGGCTGAAGGTGATCACCAAGGACGACCTCAACGGCGTGCCCTACCTCGAGCAGCTCTTCCTGAGCGCCAACAACCTGAGGAAGATCCACCCGCACGCCTTCTCGCACCTCGACCAGCTCATTCACCTCGACTTGAGCGACAACAGCCTCGTCAACCTGAGCGACCACCACTTCCGAGCCAACTCGCGGCTCCAAGTCCTCATGCTCAGCAATAACGCTGACTTGGAAACCCTACCAGTCTTCCGCACCAATGCCCAAGAGTTTGAGAGATTCAGGTACACTCGATGCTTATTTTCATTAAAAAATTACGAAAGAAAGAAAACACAATCACCAGCCAATGTCCATTGTAGCATCTACCGATTCGAGTGCGAGAACTGCGGCCTGACCTTCATCGAGTCAGGCACCTTCGACGCGATGCCAGCGATGACCCGGCTAAACCTCGGCCACAACAACCTCACGGAACTGCCGAGGGATCTGTTGCGGCCACTGTCAGCCCTTCGCGAACTCGACCTGTCGAGGAATCGGCTGGAAGAGCTGGACGTCGACGCGTTCAAGGGCGCCAACTCCCTCGCCGAGCTCAGCCTCGGCATGAACTCGTTCGTCTCCGGACTGAAGCTCGCGACTTTCCTCAAGACGCCCAACCTCCTCAGGCTGGACCTCAGCTCGTGCGGCATGCAGCGCGTCTGGAACGACGTCAAGGCCTCGCCGGAACCCCGCTCGGAGCTCAAGCTGGAGGACCTAAGGTAGGACGAGGAAAAAACACGGTCTCCCCTTCATTTCACACGAGTAATTTTGATAAACCAACCACAGATTCCTCTCGCTGAACAAGAACAACTTGCGCCGCGTGACCCTCGGGGAGATAAGCGCCATGCCCAACCTGTCGGGGCTGGACTTGTTTGGCAATCCCCTGCAATGCGACGAGGAGCTCAGCCAGGTCATGCAGAGGCTGAACGAGAGCAACGTCACGCCCATAGAGGCGGCCCGCGCCATGGGCAGCATGAAGCACGACTTTGACTACGACGGGTACAGCGGGGCCCGGCGCTCCGAGCCCGTGCAGCAATGGTCCGACCTTGCCAACTGCGACGCGTGGATCGGCGGCCCACCGCCCAGGCCCGTGCCGAGAAAGTCGCCGAAACCAACCCAGGCGTCCGGCATCGACGCCGGGGAGTCCATCTTCGACGAGCCCGGCCCCTTCATCAAGTTTGATCTCACCGACGACGCCGACAACAAGGCAAGGCCAAACAATAATTACATAAGTATACATACACACATCAATACATGATGCTTACCGTGGGTCGTTTGGCGTTTCAGTTGGACTTTGGCCCGATGAGCAAGGGTAGCCACAACAGCAAACACAGCGACGACAAGATCGAGTTCGCGTGGAACTCCGAGGACCAGGAGTACGAGGAGCTAGCGGGTGCGGCGGGCGTGCGTTACCGGGAGTGGTACACCGACGCCCTGTGGCCGGCGGTGACCGTCATCCTGATAACCCTGGCGGTGCTGCTCCTGGCCGCCCATCTGGCCGTTTGTCTGGCTAAGCGTCGCGGCAGTGGTCCAGTCATCCGTACCCCGATGATCCTCAGACCGAACCTCGTCGTCGACAGCAAGAACTGCGGCCTCGTCTACAAGCCCCTGCAGGAGGAGATCGCCACCCCGCACATGCCCAAACGGGGCAGCTTCTACTCGAGCAGCACCTTCCACTACGACAAGATCGTGCCCGAGAGCGTCTAATTCAAAGAAAAAACTAATCATTTTCTTTTTTTTTTTTCTCCCCCTTCCCATTACGTATACATTATAATATGCCCACTGCTATCGTCTATGCGGTGTGGTGTGAGATCATAATATTGGGTGACGAACAAATTATGTTTTTTTTTTTTTTTTTTTTTTTTTTTTTTTTTTTTACCATGATAACGGTGACTATTTTGTTGACAATTATCGTAGAAAATCGAATAGTTTGGCTCTATTGTAAATTTGTCGTTGTGCATATCCAAAAGTGAAGTCGTTTTTTTTTTTTTTTTTAAATCCGTTGTTCTTTTGAGCTTAAAATTGAGTGGTTTTTAAATAATTCGTAAGAAGGGCGTGCGAAGCACATGTTATATGGAGGACAAAAAATGTACATAAGTTATTGATTTCGAGTGTGAGCTGGTGCCACGTTAATTAGGTATACGCAAAAAGTACTTTTTTGGAAGCTGAAAAGTTGCGAGATGTTTGAGGAGCATTTTTTTTTTTTTTCATACACAAGAGATGGAAAACAACGAGTTGTCGATCATCTGCGTAACTTGCTTTACCAATATACTTGGAAAAAAAAAAAAAAACAATTTTGAAAATGATTACTCGTGCAATCAATATTTGTAATCTTAAAAGAAGAAGAAGTAGACATTCCATAAAGGTAAATTAAAAGTATACGAGCAAAGGAATACATCATCTCAGTGATGGACTTACGGAAAATGTTTATTACAGTCGTCGATGTGATGATGATAATGATGCAAGCTAATCGTTATAGATCACTCGATAACTCGCTGATGATAAGCCGGCATGTTGTTTGTAATTCTTAACTGCTTTTTAAACGAAAAATATTTTTACTTTACACGTATAAGCAATGTAGTATTGTATAAGGGAACAACTTGTTAATTTGCTATTTTTTGCGAGCGTAAAAAATGGAACAATCAGTGCGTACAATAAAAATTTTCCGTAGGATAAATTATATTGTTAATGCCAACAACTGCGTGGATTCCATTTTAAAAAATTTCATTTTTCATACAAAAATATATATTTATAAAGTAAAAAAGAAAAAAAAAAATTAAACAAGTTTTTAACATTTTTACATATTGTGTTATAAAATCCTGTCTTTCACATGTCCATTTGTCGACAGAGGACAAGACAAAGGAATAAACATTTAAAGAACGAATCAAATGTATCGCTTTATACGCCGATATCGCCATGTTGCAGAATACCTTAATATTTTTAGTTAACTTAACACGTACTATCATTTAAGAAAATCATAGACTATGATAATTTTTTTTTTCTTCAAGTACTTGTATATTAATTATTGTGAAAATATAGTCTTGGGCGGGATGAAATCGAATTTTCGGATGAAATAGTTTCAGTAACTTTTTTTTCTACAGAACCCGAGTTCTCTTGATTATTTTAAACTTAAAGGACAAAAAATGAAACGATAAGCAGCTACTTTACACATAGCATTGATATATGCATAAGCTATTGTACGAGTGGTAAAAGCGTTTGCACACAAAAAAAAAAAAAAAAAAAAAAAAAAAAACAATTATACGGGCGTTTGAATAACGCTTCCCGCTGTAAATAATATTCTTATAATGTTTTAATAAAATTTAAATTAAAAAAAACCATACGAATATTTTTTTTTCTACCTCTGCCACTTAATCATCACGCTATCCCTTTTGTTTTGTTTATTTACTTTACAAAGAGCTGTCAAACGTGCGTACTATATTTTTGGCCAAACAATGTCAAATTCTAAATTCTAGTTCAATTTTCACATTTGGAAAAAAAAATTAATTTTTTTCATTCATTCACAAGTATGGTAACCGTAGGAATCAATGGTTTTGGCCGGATAGGAAGGAATTGTTTAAAAATTTGCTTGGAAAAGAACATTGAGGTTAACAACAATTCAAAATGTCTTTAAATTTCACCTATACGACTCTAGTTGCGGTGATTGATCTCCGATTCAGGTGAAACACATCAACGACCCCTTCATCCAGACGGATTACATGATCTACCTTTTCAAGTACGACTCGACACACGGGGTGAACAAGCTGCCTATTCGTTGCGAGGACAACTCGATAGTCATTAATGGTACCGATTGCTTGAAATGAAAAAAATAATAAAATCAAAGTGATAATTTTCAATGCCATCGCCAACGAGCTAGACAAGGGAACCATCACAACGTCGTGCGAGAAGGACCCGACCAAAATAAAGTGGGAGGACGCCGGCGTGAGATTCGTGATCGAGGCGACCGGGATTTTCAAGGAACTCGAGAAAGCCCAGGCAAGCCCAAGACCAAAACACTATATGTTCTCGATAAAGTACGAGTGCACTAAGTAACGCGGATCGATCTTGCAGATGCATCGAAAGGCCGGGGCCGAGTTTGTGGTCATCACCGCTCCATCGAACGACGTGCCGACCTTCATCTACGGTGTGAACCATCACAAGTACGATCGTCACCGACACGGCCATTGCATATCCGCCTCCTCGGACACGGCAAACTGCGCGGCTCCGCTGGTCGCAGTGATGCACCAGAACTTTGGCGTCGAGGAGGCCATGATCACGGCCATCCACGCCGTCACGGCTGACCAGAGGATCGTCGATGGGCCGACCGTCAAGGTGCATAGACAATAATGAAACCTCAACTCGTGGAAATGCACGAAAATACTCATCACCTTTCCCAATCACCAAAGCTGTGGAGATCCGGAAGGAGTGCGTTGCAGAACATCATTCCCTCTCCCACGGGCACTGCCAAGTGCATCGGCAAAGTCATTCCTGAGCTCAAGAATAAGGTCCAGGCGATCTCGTTTCGCGTTCCCGTCGCCAACGTCTCGGTCTGCGATATCACCTTCAGGTTTCTGTACAATACCGATTCTTCATTCTTTAACGAATAGCGCACCGCGACAAGCACTTTATTTCAATTATTTATATATACCTTAACTTGATCAGTTCCGCGTGAAAACTGGTGGACGTATTGTTAAGTACGTGATTCGATATAACACGCGGTGTTGATGTACGTTGGTTTTTTATACGTACGTATAGGTACAAAAAAAACAAAAAAAAAAAAAAACAAACAAACGTATTCTCAATGATTTGTTAAGGGTGACTCAGCCGACGACGTACGAGCAGGTGAAGCGAGTGATGCGCACAGCGGCCACCGGGGAGCTCAAGGGCGTCCTTAATTATACGGAAGACGACTGTGTCTCGACCGATTTCAATTGCACGCCCTACTCGTGCACTTTCGATGCGAAAGCTGCGATTCCGCTCACCAGTACTTTCGTCAAAGTTGTCGCCTGGTAATTATATTTTTGACGCCCAATCGCATATGCTGATCTCGGTTCATTGTGATACCGAGGTGTCCTTGTACAATCTGACGAAATAGTTCAGCAAAGATGCAGATTTTTCTGATTCAAATACATTCAAGGGTACATTCCAACATGTCAGTAAAATGTGTCAGGATGACAGATACTGGAAGTACTTTTTAATATGAAGTGCCAAGTGTATATAATGACCCAAAGTCATTCAAAGCTCCAGACAGTATTTAGATGACTTTTGCGTTTAAAAACTAAGACTCATCTTCAAATGTAACGAGTTTTAAGTTTTTGATGGTTGTCAATGATTTATCGATTTTGACTGAAGATCCTGAAATCGTTTTTTTTGTTTTTAATTAGACTTAATTACTCACTACCAAGTCCTGATAAGTTATGTTTTTAGCCCTTTGGGTAAAATTGTATTGGTCATATACACAAAAGTGTACTTACATAACGTGTTCGCAGGTACGATAACGAGTACGGCTATGCTAATCGAGTCATTGATCTTATCTTGCACATGAGTAGCGTTGATTCTGGAAGCGTTTATTCGTACAAAGAAATTGACGAGCTGATAAAGGAAGAATCGCTTTGAAGAAAGGTATATATCTGTTGGGAGAAATTTCATAAAATGTTATCAAATATAAAATCTTAACTTTTTTGTTAACTAGTGATGAAAGTTATTACTTTAATATTTTATGTCTGAATAGGGTTATGTTTTTGTCGGTAATTGTTTGACGTTCGAATAATTAAGATAAGAGCTTACATCATTGAAACACTTGGGTATATGTACGAGAAAATCATAAATTACCGCCTCCTCAGCCACCACGGCGATTGCTGAAGACAAGGATGAAGCAAGCCGCATGAATTGCGCGCGCAATCTGCTCCCCGCCGCGTTTATATCGGCGCCTTTTGCCCTTCAAATGACACTGTTTCTGTGGTGAGCGTAGCGAGCGGTTCTATCATTCCTGTGTCTCTCGTAAGTACCACCTAATTAATAATTTACCATTTTATAATACTTAATTCTCCCAGCAATCGCGCGTCTCCTTCGTCAGCAGCAATCAACCCATCAACGTGCGTGTGTGTACGTGTGACAATAGTGCGCGAAATGCCCAAAAAATCGGAAATGTTGTAACACGAGGCTGCAACTTTCGATCGTTCGATGCAATAGTGCCGGCGTTTCCTCCATCTCGTCGCCTCGGATTCCGTTTTGCAACAACGACTTGTTTCGTCCTCGCCATTCGTTTAGAGTATAGGTACCTACATACAATTGCAAAATTGTCAAGTGTCGCGTTTATCACATTTTATACTTGGTGAATCAATCGAATATGCAAAGAAGGATCCTTCCATTGTATTTTTCCGACACGGCTACTAGAACTCGAGCTTTGATAGCGCATGAGCAGTCCCTGCATACGACGAGCAAAAATAGATTTTTCCTTTTGTTTTTTTGAAGAGCCTAATGAGCTTTTAATTCACCATAAGTACAAAAAATCGGCTCACATCTCGGTTGGACTAGGTCAGCATCGCGAAAAAGGGCCATACGTACAGTGAGAAGTTAATTCAAACTATAGCAAAGAATTCCAGGGCCACGACCTGACCGTGACGAGGTCGTGTCTCTCCTCGACACAAGGCAGGCCAAAAAAGTACAAAAAAAGAACTGTACTAATCTGCCAACGCCTCAATAATAGAACATTGTCCTCGAATTGAAACTGGGTGGAGGTGCGGTGGAGTGGGGGTTCTATACATCCTACTCCATAATGACAATCGTGTTATCTTAATGGAGAAAATCTCGTGACGTTCTTCGTCAGCTTGCATCGTTGTAGCTGTGTCTTATATCTATATACTATGAGCTGACGTGGTATGACGTAACAGCATCAGCTATATTACACTATTTATATACAAGTTAAACCAAAAGAGAAAAAGATCCCCGTTCATTCCGGTTGCAGGTGCATCAGCTGCTGGATACACGCGTTTACTGCAAATAAGAGTAGATGCTACCATTTACTTACTAATTATTCCTTCTCACACACAAATATGCTGGGCAGGTTTTTATCTATTTGTGATACATATTTTGCTCGATTGTAGACTTTATTAATTTTATCATGACTCCAAAAATGACTGGGGTGTCGAAATGACAACGATCGATCCATCATTTCCATCTAAGCACGTGGAAAATGGCCGTGAGGGTAATGATTTTCATTGCTGTGCGGTAACACTCTGCATACACATGTAGCCCAGCGTACTTGCAACGTTTTCTTTTGATGTTTTGACGGTGACTCTTCGTGTTGCTCTAATGGAATGCGAACTTGATTTTTTTAACGAGGTCGTCAGGTGTGTTCTGCTTAAAAGCTTCTTGGCTTGAGATACTGAACTGTAAAATTTTTAACTAATGCTTCAAGTTGTTTTTGTGTACGAACTATTTTTGGCGATCGTTTGAAATAATTTCTATTCATTAAAAGTTTTCTTAAAGTTAGTCTCTGATAAATCACTTCTAATTGTTGGAAATTCGAATCTCAACAATGATAAATGTTTCAGATATTACATCATACATTTTTAATATTAAAAATTGGGAAAGAAAAAGCATACCCTACCACTAGAACTCTCAAGAACTATATAGTAAAAAAAATTATGAATGTAGTGCTTGGCAAAGGCTCTCCAATCCACAAGATTATCGACCGCGCTTTTCCGAGTCCTCGCGCTTCGTGTGTCAAGGGTATAAGCTTTTACCATCGTTGGTAACCTTGAACGACCTCTACATTAGCTCGAGCCTTAAACGGCGACCCACAGGAATTATTACTCTTCGGCTTATTTTTATTCTGACACCTCTTTCAAAATCAATATCAAACAAAAGTAGTTGGCAAATCGGACTAACAATAAACAATTTTTCAAACGTGTCTCTACCTTGTCCTCTTTTACGCAAAGTCATTCCGATTATCATTGGAAAATGCAGAAACCTGGTCAGACATGTACTTAATTTAACTATTTAACTGTACGGATTAATCACTCCATGGTTTTCTTTCGATGGAAAAAAAAAATTCATGCCATCATTAATAAGATAATGAGCCCGAAACTCAGTCTTAAAATTGGTTGCTGCTAAAATATTATGTATAAAAAAAAAAGATTCGGATGTAACGTTTAAATTTTTCGTTTTCCATCTCTTTTTGATGCATAAATATTACTCATCAGAATCTAACCAATGATGTTACAGGAATAACAAACAAGCAACATGAGCAAAATCGGAATCAACGGTTTCGGACGTATTGGTCGTCTGGTGCTGAGGGCCTCCATTGAACGTGGAGCACAGGTATGCATCAGTTATTGTTATTAACTATATATTTTTAAAAAATAAAAAAAACATTTTAAATACATTGAAACCCAATCGCGCTAATACTTAATTTTTCTAACTTTCATCCCTCATAAAAGTTTCCAATATCAAGCGCGCGACATTAATTTTTGTCTTATACGTGTTTCAGGTCGTCGCTGTAAATGACCCGTTCATTGGTCTGGACTACATGGTCTACATGTTCAAATTTGACTCAACCCACGGCAAGTTCAAGGGTGATGTCAAGGCCGAGAATGGCTTCCTAGTCGTCAATGGCGCTAAAATCACTGTCTTCAGTGAGCGCGACCCCAAGGCTATCAAGTGGGCCGAAGCTGGTGCGGAATACGTCGTTGAATCTACTGGTGTTTTCACCACCATTGACAAAGCGTCCGTAAGTTCACTTCCAGTTACATAGCTAGCTTTCAGTTTAAAAAATTAATAGATTGATTTAATGAAATTACCGCTCTTTTTCTAGGCTCATTTGGAAGGTGGAGCCAAGAAGGTCATCATCTCTGCTCCATCAGCCGATGCTCCCATGTACGTCGTTGGCGTCAACCTTGACACGTATGACAAGAGCCACAAAGTCGTGTCTAACGCTTCCTGCACAACCAACTGCCTCGCGCCCCTTGCCAAGGTCATCCACGACAACTTCGAGATTGTTGAAGGTTTGATGACTACCGTTCACGCTACCACCGCTACCCAGAAAACAGTCGACGGACCATCTGGCAAAGTTCGTACAACTTTTGTTTTTGTATGAAAAACGTTTGATCAGGTGGATTAACTAAATCTGAATTTGTTCCAACAGCTGTGGCGTGATGGTCGTGGTGCCGCCCAAAACATTATTCCGGCAGCCACTGGTGCTGCCAAGGCTGTTGGCAAAGTCATTCCTGCCCTGAACGGCAAACTTACTGGTATGGCATTCCGTGTACCAGTCGCTAACGTTTCAGTCGTCGATCTGACAGTCCGTCTCGCCAAACCCGCGACCTATGACCAAATCAAAGAAAAGGTCAAGGCTGCTGCTGCCCCAGGTGGATCCCTGGAAGGCATCCTTGGCTACACAGATGAAGAGGTTGTTTCATCTGACTTCATTGGAGACAATCGCTCGAGCATCTTTGACGCCAAGGCCGGTATCTCACTGAACGACAATTTCGTTAAGCTTATCACGTGGTACGACAACGAGTTTGGTTACTCGTCTCGTGTTATCGACCTCATCAAGTTCATGCAGTCCAAGGATTAAGTGCAGCTGTTATAGATCTTGAGGAGGGTGTGGTAAGTTGCTGACATTTGTTGCTTTTTAAGCTTGCTTTTCTGATAGCGTGTCTTATTTTATTTTTGTTATTCAGTTTGTTGAATAACTAATGTCAAAAGCACGCCAGACTAACTTGATGAGATAATTAGCCCAGATCAGCAATTTTTAGTTTATCTGGGTCAGTCACTTACCTACATTAATATTTTACTATTGCTTACTAAGAATTTTTACAATTTTAAGTCCTAAATAACAAATACGTTTTTCTCTGCACAGGTGAGTTCTCGAACGAGGATTGAAAGGAAGAGACTTGGTAGTAATTGTAATAATTATATCACTTAAAGCTCTTTCCCATACATCCATGAAGATATCGTCAGCCGTTTATCACCAAACGGGTCATGCAGCATATATTCGTTCGAGATTCAAAAAAAAAAAAAAAAAAAAAAAAAGCAAATAAAAAAAGAAATTCTATTTAAAAACATATTTTAAAAGTATGTTCAAAGTAGCCGTGTTTCAGCGTTGTCGAATTACGGAAATGAGAATGAGACATGCTCATCCTTAAATAGAGGCAGGCTCTCTAGAATGCTCATTAAATTCACTATGTTTGACTTTTACTGCTCATGCTTCTTTTTGAGAATCCTCAATTCCGTTTCGACATAATCAGTAAAAAAAAAAAGCATATGTATCAATATGATGGATCGTTCAGTTTCGGCTGTTCTTATTAATTCAAATCAATGTTGGAACAAGTAAATAATTATGTAATTTGGATTAATGACCTCTTGTGGTAATTTATTGATTCAATACTGTTCGCCACCAAATTGACTTTTGTTTACAAAAATACATTCATTTTTCAGAACTTCAATAAACGTTGTTATCACAATCTAGTGGTTTATATTTTTTACTGCATATGATATTAAATTAAAAAGCTGTAAAGGAATGGTTTAGAGTATTAAAAAACGAATTTTTATTCTTCGATTTTTAATGGGCATCAACTTTATGTACACTGTATTTATACAAAAAGGCGACTTGTTTTCATAGACAGTGAGAGATAACGTTCAAGTACTAAAACGATTTTAACAGATCAATTTATATTAAAATAACGCGTCATATTATGAAGTATGGCACAGAAACTTTCATTTGTATTTAAAACGCACATAATTGTAATGTTTATTTTAGCAACGCTCCTGATTCGTTTCTTTTATCAATTAACGATTCAATATCAGTACAGCCTGCCATCAAGGCAATTGCAAATATATTAATTTCTCATTGTACGACTCGTCGCCTTTATTTTTATATTCCTCTTTTCCTTGATTTTCGCTGGTGATACAACTGACGTCTACGTCGACAAGTCGAAACCACCTTTATTTACAATAGCTAAAAAAGTCAAAAATAAAAAACTCAACGTGTTTTACACATTTAATTCCTGATGCATATTCATATACCTACCTCGTATTTTTCAATCAAGTTCAACTTTAAACTTTGCTCACATGTCACTTAAAATTTTATTACAAAGCATACTTGTTATGAAAATATTTTTATTTGAATCTACTATTTTTGTTGATTCAACCATGAGAGATCCTTTCCGACTTCACAAAGTAAATCTCCTACAACAGTGGTTTGAAAACTCTGACTCAACAAGTTATATGTACTTTTTAAATCTTTTCTGTAATATGCGCATCTGTGCAACCTCATCAATGATAAACTTCGCTGTTATAATACCCTCAATGTTATTTTTGTTTTTCTCCAATTATCAACTATCATAAACATTAAATATAAACGTGAAAGTGTCGATGGCCCACAAGTAGGGAGATTACGATATCTTTTTTTTTCAATCTTTTTCTTTTTGTTGAGATATATTAAGATGTTAACGAGCATATAAATATTTTACAAGGACGACTAGTACCCGACCTTTGTTTTATTAATGATCGGAAATAGTATTTAATACGAAACTGCTGTAATCGTAACTTAACTGAAGATTATTAAGTCAAAAAAGATCGCGAGAAATTTAACGTTGTTAATTATCAAGGGAGATCATTGTGTCAGCAGAAGTATTACGAAATGCAATAAAATTGAAAAATCTTGGATATTTTAAACGCAAGTCGTTTTATTTTAAATACAAAGTTACCATTAAAATTGAATTAAAAAGTGCACTAGTATTAGGAAAATACGTGTAGACACGCCCATATTTAATTAAACTAATTCTAGCATCATAATGTTAATCGTAAATTTGGGTAAAAAAATCAATGAGTATCTAATTTATTATGAGGGACCATTATATAAATATTTAGTTAAGATTAAATTAGTAATTTTAAGGAATATAATCCCTAAAGCTCTCCAATTTTAACGTTCGTTCTTGTACATTAATGAGCATACTATCGCTGTCTGCTGACGGAATGATTCCCCATTCAATACTTGATTAAATATGATTTTAAAAGCAAAATCAAATCCGTTACAATGAATTAAAGAAGTTGTTGCGTCTGTTTAAAAACTCTTTAATAAAAAATTAAAGATTTAAGAAAAAAAAAAAAAAACTTGATTAATGGTAAAAGAACATATAATTGGCAGAATAATATAGTTATTTGACGTAAAAATTAGATAAACTTTTTAACTTACAGAGTCGGTTTCTCAATCTTAACGCGCGCGTTTCTGATATTTAATCGACAAGACACGACAGTGAATGGGATCATGTCAAGAGTAAAAGTTTTGCCCTGAGATTTATCCTCTCTTGCAACGCGCCCGCAAGCTCGCGCGTCAGCTCTTCACACACCTGTCGCAGTTCCGCATTTTTTTCACGCAGCTCCTGAAGTGTCAAAGCCTTGATGTTCCCGTCCGTTTCGTCTTTCGCTGATTCATCCTGACTTTCTTTTTCTGAAACACCAAGAAATTGACTTTGTTTCGAGTTTTCAAATTTTTCGATTGATCGCGATGAAAAATCGACACGTTAGGAACGCACAGGCATCTTTTTCGCTTTCCACTGGCTAAGTTTAAAGTAATGGTTACTCGCCTACTTCCCCTTAAACTATTCTTTACTTACTTAGACTCGGTTTTTTATAAATATGGAATGCACCACAAACACCAGTGAACTGTTGCGTGGGAGGAACATTGTTTTCTACAGTCTGATTCTCTCCGTCTCTTGACGCGAATTGCGAGAAATCCGCGACAAAGCCTTGCTCGTCGCTGTTTAATCTCGATCCTTCACCTTCGCTCTTCTGGCCCACTAATTTTCTCGTTTTGGTCGACGTCGTCTGCAAGTAGGTTGGTTCGGATTTTCGATGTATTTGATCGAAGTTTTTAGGTTTCAGATAGGAAAAAAAAAGAAAAAAAAAAAAAAAAAGTAATGAATCGTTAATCGTCTTTTTTTATTTGTGAATATTGAAATGATAAAAAAAAAAGACGAGCAGCAATTGAAGGGAGGAAGAAAGAATGTGTTAAATGAATACGCAATGAAACTTACGATTCCTGGTGAGACTCTTGGAGGTACGGTAGGCGGGGCTCCTAGAAAATTTTGGCCATTTTTTCCTATCATTCGAAATACACATGATTTAAACGCAAAATAACAACATAGAGTGCACCAAAACCTTTGAGAAAGGAAGATATCTCTATTGTATCAGAAATTTATTACGCAAAAATCAAAGTTTTAAAAGACAAGTTTTACAAGATGCTAAATAATAAATTTCTGATGACCCTGAAAGAAAGAAAGCACCATGAAAACAACATGTGTCCAATAAAAGATGAAAAAACTTATTTTTAGCAGAAACGAAAGAAAAACATTGTTTCAAACATTTAAATATGAACGAGCCTATTTAAAAAAGAAGCCTGCACGTGAAGGTTAAAAAAAACAAAGAAGCAAAAAACTCAAAAACAGAAAAGACCACAACTCGTTGGACAAACACTCAGAAAAAAACACAAAGAGCGAATAAAATGATGAAAAAAAAAAAAAAAAAAATAGCCATGACCAACCTAGTTTGTTTAAATCGAGACTAGAGCTCCTTGTGTGGGTCCGGTAAGGTCTGGGTGGAGGTGGCGGGGGTGGCTCTTTCTTGGGTGCAGCTATCACAGTCTCCTCAGGCAGTGGCAGCACCGGCTTCTTGGCAAGTGGCCTCTGGACCCCAAGGCCAGCCGCGAGGGAGAGCTCATCGTCCCCCACAGCCAGGATAGAGCTAACACCGTTGTTACCGTTGGCGTTCGAGGCAAGGATCGCTGCCTCGGGCGTAAGCCGTAGCGGCACCGGGTGTAGGATCTTCGGGTCGCGCTCGACCGCCGATTTCTGGAAGTCAAAGTTGCAGGGCTTGGGACCCGGACTCGTGATCGAACTGCCGTTGTTGCTGTTGTTGCTCGTGTGCCCACTCGTGCCAGTCGGCGAGTCCACGAACTTTGTCCACTCCTTGCTCTTGTCCTTGCTCGCGTTGGTAGCGCTCGAACTGGTAGCCGCGGCGGCAGCTTGAGCGGCTCTGGTGGCGGGACTAGTTGTGCGGGGCGCGGGTACGGGCAGCGCAACGGGGGGTGGAGGCGGCTGCTGGGGTGGTTGGGAGGGTGGCTGCACGAGCATGGACAAGGAGGGTGGTAGCACGTCAGGTAGGGGCACCTGGTTCCGTCGCAGCACGGCCAGGTGCATCGCTACGTAAAACTCGTGCAGGCTCAGAGCACTGTCGCGCGTCACGTCCGCCAACTGCCAGATACGGCGCAGCTCTTCAACGGGCAGCCGTGACTTTTCGAAAAATCTACGAGCAACGGAACCAGACACCAGACCGTCCGGATTGGCTTGTAACGTAGCAAACTGGGCTGCATAGTACTCCCGCTGTTCGTCGTTTATCGTCCACACCTGCTCGTCTCGATAGCTCTCGCAATCTTCGCCCTCGCCTTAAATAGGATTAAAAATGTTGAAAGTACTCCAAGTCAATTTTCACTATTACAAAAAATTTACATGAAGCCTGGATTATACAATAATTTAATAATATAAACTTAGCAAAAAACTTGTCATCAAAGAATTTACTCCCGGTCTTTAAGAATCACGTATGAAAATTTTCTTTGTCAAATTGTATTACCTCTATGAGCCATGTTGGACACATACTGATAAGTAGGTGTCTTGATTGGCATTTCATTCACTGTATTTTTTTGATGAAATATCTTATCACCATTTAAATGATATTATCACAGATAAGATATCTCCTCATGCCATTAAAAAATTTGTATTTGAAACATTTTTTGAACCGATTGCATTTCCTTGAATTTTTTTAAACTGTTAGAATGTGTTACTTTGAGAAGGCCAAACATTTTTATGAATGATGTAAATAAAAACAATGTACCATCATCACTGCTGTGACGCTCCGAACTTTCCTCTTCGGTACCAAGCAACTGCCTTTGCTCCTCAGAAACCAGGAGACTCTGCCAACCTCCGGAAATTGAGTCAAGATTTGCTTCAACTCCGAGTGGACCTTCATTTCTCTCTTGAGTTACGCTATTTGTTGGAGTAGGAGAATCTGTACTGCCACCTTCGGTCTCCCGTGGGGATTCTACCTCACTTTCACTTTCAGTTGTACTTTCAGGCATGTGGCCACTTAATCTAATTTTCGAACTTTTCTTGGGAAAATGCCTTTTGCTGTCCAGTTCTTCTTCACCCGTTGATGAAGACCATGTGAATTTAGGCAATGTCAGTTCATCTAAAGATGCTGTGATAAGATCTGTATGAATTTCAAGGCCTACTTGATGGGCTGCCACTAATTTTAGAGCTGCATAAAACTGTTTTCTGTTGAAAGTGTTACTTTTAGCCGGATCACAGATGTCTAAGATCTGAAAATGATTTTTTGTTCTGTTTTTCTATTTTCAGTAATACTTTCAAATAATTCAAATGACGTCAGTAATTAAGTTATCATAACACATGCTGTGTAAAATAATTCAAACAATCAATTCAATAAAAACCATGATAGCAAGTACATGAACAGCTGATAAAACCATACTCCAATTAAACGTAATAACAAAATTGTAAGTAACTATGCCCATATGGGAAAGATGGCTGTACTGTGTGGTGGAAACAATATTTAAGGGTACATACAGGTGGTAAGAAAAAGCAAACGTTGCTTCACATTCTATATGTATCTAACCTATGATGTGTCAAATGTGATCTATAAAAATGTAACTTGAAATTTAGTTACATCTAAATCTAGTTTACCCACTGAAATACGTAAAAAATTTTAAGATATAAGCATAAAATAAGATTAGCTGATGTATGCAGCAGCAATGTTATTACCACAAATGTAGTTTTAATAATCAATGAAATAATGGTCAGATCACAACAAAACAATACCAAATGATATAGTTGCAAATCAGTTTGCGAAAATAAATAAAGTATTCATTCATTCATTCGAGTTCTTCCATTAAAAAGGACTTGAAATCTCAATGAAAATAGCAGACTAAAACAAAATTAAAAAAAAAAGGGAGGTTTTGGTAGGAGAAATAACAAGAAAACAAAATGCAAAGCTGAACAAGCAAGCTTACCACGAGCGTAACGTGACTGGGCAGGTTAGCGGATCTGAGTAGCTGTCCAACCTTGGAAGCGGGCACGAAGTCGGTATCGGCGTTCTCGCAACAATAGATGAGAACGTCCCCGTAGTACCTATGCTCTGTGTCCGTCAACTGGAGGCTGGACATAGGCAGCGACTCCCAGTCCATTACTCACGCGTTGACTCCGTTTTAAGTACCGTACGTTTGCAGAAGCTGCGCTTTCTTCGCAAGGGAGCTGCTTATCCCGCAAATAACAACCACAAATTCACTGATAATCAATCTACCTCGACCTACTGTCATATACAATATTTCGCTATTGATAAATCTTCTACTCTTATTGTTATCTCTTCATGTGTTTATAAAATTCGAACGATGCAAAATTAATGCAGAGGTAGGAAAATGTCTCTGACTTATTCCGTAAAATGTGTGTAATTTATTTATGAAGACGTAAATCAAGTGCGAACCGCCATCCGGATCATCCGGAGCGCCATGTTAAATTGCACACGCGCACATTATCACGGAACTACGGGAGTCTCGTGACGAAACGCACACGCACGGCTCTTTTTTTTTATTTTTTTTTTTTTATAGAACTGTCATCAGTACCTTCATGTGAGTAGATTCATAAAAATTAATTTACTTTACGTTATTGTAATATTATACCTATACACTTATTGCACAACGTTTGACAGGTGTATAGGATTGGCGTTTCACATCTCTCGCGCTTCAGGCTCTACTCGCCAGGTGGCCAAGCCCCTAATAGTTAACTCCCGTCAAGCGGCGAAATTCCCGCACGATTACTATATAAGCGCGATCAAGTCAGTTTGAACTCACTCCTCTCCAGTGTCTAGAGCAGGGAGCACGCTATCATCCTGTTTGATGACTGTATACAGAGCCTAAGCTGTTTTGGGAGTAAGAGTATACCCCCATAATTCTCCAACAGTAGGAAAGTTCTATACTTCTCTTCGCAGTCACCATTCCGATTAACTCGATTACTCGATCACAAATATCATTCATGTGATTCGATGTCTTAGCTACGATATTTCTAGCTTCAGCATATACAAGAATCTCTATAATGTCTATGTTGCAGCATTTGACACTGATCCTCACTTCCTCACATTCATGGTTGCTGATATTATAGCTCACGCCAACGGCAGTAGAACTATGGAGCAACTGAATTTTCATTCAGTCTCGTGGTCAGGAGAAACAACATGATACTAATGGCCATCACCTGGATCGGGCCCTGAATCTGCTCATTCCACTCGTCTGTGGAACCAGATTCTTCTTGAATAGATCGCCAGAGTTGCATCAAACGTAGTTTGCAAAGTCACTCTGTTAGGTCTCCTTTTGTTTATATTCATTACTGCCCACCTTATTGCTGTTTTGACTCCCTTATTTATCAGCAACTGCTCTGTAGCATAATTAAGTAGGATTGTCAGATAACCACTAGCAATCGCGTTAATGTTTAGATCCACTGGCTCATCTCCCTCTAACTGTTCGTATAGAGCTGTGGTGGCAATCATTGCATGAATTTCCACTGTCATAACTATCTCTGCTCTCTGCATCTACCGTAAAGCAATTGATAGTGCCCTTCTCCTGAAGTCTGTAACCTCCTCTGACAGATATAGTTTTCTTCTCATGATTCCCTATTTCCGTATTTCGAACGACGGACCTGTTGGCACTGCGGTAAAAGAGGTGTGGGCTCAGATGGACTCGATCGCGCTTATATAGAATTTCGCCGCTTGACGGGAGTTAACTATTAGGGGCTTGGCTACCTGGTGAGTAGAGCCTGAAGCGCGAGAGATGTGAAACGCCACATAGGTACTTAGATTTTGAGTGCGATCAAGCTACGTCTCGTCGACAGTTTCCGCTGGATTCCGCTCTAAGATTACTTTTGCAAATTTGTACTAGATTTGCACAGTGAAAAGTGCAGGATGCAGGATACTTTTTCATGATTCAGTATATATACATATATAGACTGAGAGCGTGTGAGCTGAGGTCCAAAGGTGGTCGAAAATTTAAACCAGCCGCCATTTCACTCCCATCCACCCATGCACCCGATATTGCGGAGTGTGTTGTTGTCATGCCAATGGCATGATGCCAAGCCAATGCCAGTTTAGTACACGTTGACGCTAGCGCCGCCCGATCATGCGGCGTTACCACGAGTACCACGACCTACGAAACTTAACTGCTGGCAGCATTTGCGGAATACAGCCTCTGATTTTATCATTCTGGTACTTAAAGAGAGCACGGTGTAAGATATACGTGAAGTTATGTGTAGTTATTACATGTAATCACTTCTAAGTAGTACCATATGGTCGATTTTATTAAACCATATATTATAAGTAGAATATCTATACTTTTGAAGGTCGATTTTCAGGTGGAAGATAAATTGTAAGCTTACCGCAAATAGCACAGGCCACGTTAACTTTTTATTTTAAATTACAAGAATTAGTTGCGGCTGGTCTATTTTTCAACCCTTAGCGCGGGCAGCCGTAGGTTGCCTATAGGTTCACCGGATATTTCGGCTTCCAAACAAACCTACCTATATAATAGATTATAAATTATGACAGAGGGTTGAGGGTTGAGAGCGTTGATTGAGATTCAGCATTTTCTAGCGGTATTCAATTTGGAATTTTCTATTTTCGAGGGTGACGGGGGCATGAGCAACCAATATTTGAAAACTAAAACTTTGGCTACATCCGATTGGAAAAGAAATCATGCAAGCTCACCGGTGGGTCCCATCGTCCCATTCAAGCGACCAATATTGGTCCAATTGCTCTGCCAAAGTCTGTAGAGTCTACCAATCAAAATTCTCCGCTACGCGGTGACAAACTTGTCCAAAATATCTCTCTCCAATGGAGAGTCTCCATCAGTTTTATTGTCCTGAGTGTTACTGTGTTAGAGAGTGGCAGCACGGCGGCAGCAGCGCCAGCAGCGGTGAGGCACCTGAGCGGTACCTACAGCGGTAACGAGTACCAGAGCTGGTGCAGAGCCCAGAGTAGAGCCTTTTGCAGAGCTGGTGCACATAGTCGCAGAGATTGGCATGTGAGTGTGCACTGTGTTGTGTATCAGCATCCAGGGATCCCAGATTCCAGGTCCAGGCCATTAACAGTCTTGTAGCCTTGAACGGGATTAGTACTCACACAAATCGTCCCCCTCCAAGGAAGAAATTTTTTGTTCAAGAAAGGTCACTCGTCGGTACCCCGAAGATTTCTTTGAACGCTCGGTAACAACGACGGCGACGACGACTACCTAGTTACCTACAGTACCTACTACGGTGCACACGAGTGTGTACTGTGTAGTGTGTACCTATGCGATGTGCAGTGCGTGCGCATTTTTAACACGCGGCGTTCTCTCTCGAGGAGAATCCAAGACTCTGTCTTCGCGGATGTGGTACGGCATCGTTGGTTTTCCAGGTTAAGTTTTCCTGTCGCTCGCGCGCGCCTACGGCGATGATCCGCAGCTTCAAGGACGTCGTTCGTGGTTAACTATTACTTTATAGTTGCATCTACGTTTATCTACGAGTACTGAGATATCCATTACGGTCTGCGTCGTCGCCTCTTTTATTTTTTTCTCCCCGTGTCGACGTAGCTTCGAGAGAAGCCGGTGTTTCTGTTTCACTTTTCTCCGGGGGGTGAGCCCTTTGTTACCGAAGCATTCGCTGGGATATTCTCATCAAGTATTATTTACGAGTTCTGTAGGAACATAGTTTTACAAATTCTCGTTATTGTTCTCCATCTACACGGGCAGAGGCTTTTGCTCAAATAGAGGATATGACCGGCTCCCCAAGAAGACGAGGTGGAGGAGGTTGGCCCTGAGATTCATTTATCAACGTTGCTCTCTTCGAAAGAGGAATATTCCGGTGAGTTTTTTTTTTCTCGTTGTGCAAGCGCCAAAGCTTTTTTTCTTCTAGTCTTTAGATAGCGTGTGTGTAGTATGTGTACGTATACGTAGATGGCTACTGGGATCGTTTGTAAATATTTAGACGGACAAATATTAGATGTACTTAGCTTAAAGTTTTCGGATATTGTACCTGTGCAGTTATTTACATTTCATTGATATAACTTATAGTTTTGCCGTGGCTTATTTTGATTTTATTAGAATCACAAGTAGTCTTGCACTCTATTCAAATTAAGTAGTATTGTAGAACTTATGTGTATTTAAAGCTTGTGCATCGTATTGCAGGCAAGTCTCGTCTGTGACTTTACCAAATAACTACGAAAATGGAACAGAATGATGGTGATTATCAACAAGTTATTGAGGTAAATAATACGACACAAGCAGACAACGGGCTTTATTCTGAGCACCTAGTACACGAAGTAGTCATACAAAATGCTAACAATCAAGGCTCCACTGAAAACTGTGAAATGTCTGACATTGAAATCATGTTGCCAAGCAATTACATACAGGATCAGGGCAGTAATAATGTGCTGTGTACTGCGGATTTGATCGATGGTGATAAGCATATTGAAAATGTAATCACGCATCTAGAGGTTATTAATGATCAGGATATTTCACAGGCTATTAGTGTTGAAGAAACATTTAGTAGCTGTAGTCAAAATTTGCAAGAGGTTTTTATTTGTTTTATTTTTCATTTTTGTTTCAATTGGTTAAACCTACATCTGATTTGTTTAAATTTTTTTTTTCTGAACTGAATAACTAATTTATTTATTTATTTATTATTATTTTTTTTTCCATGTTTTAGCAAAAGTTCGGTGAATTTTTAATACAAAATCAGACAACTTATCCTCAAGATAGTTTTGATGTAGACTCTTCTAATTTCGAGACAAATCTTGGTTGTAATGGTAATGGCTTTCACTTTACTTTCCCTTTATGATGAAACCTTTTCCTAACATTTTTCTAACATTATGCATCCTATTTTTGTAGATGATCAACCAGTCAATGACAATACATTAAGCAACAGTAAAAGTGCGGTAAACAGTTTAAGTGGTACTAAAGACCAAAGTGATCTACAATCTGAAAAAATCATTGAGTGTGAAGCACAAATAGCAACTGCCACTCCTACTAACCAAATGGAAAGTGGTAAGATTGTAGAAATGAGCATTTCAAATGTGAATGAACAGACTAGTGTAGTGGCAAGTGATACTGTGAAAGAAACCATAGAAAAGCCTAATAACCACGTGGCAAAAGAAACAGATAAGTGTGTAGATTCTAATACTGTAAGTGTTGAATCGAAAATTGTTCATTCATCACCAACGAGTCAGTCGTCTAAAAACGTTAATTGCTCAGAGAAAGTTAAGAAAGCTGAAGAAGTATCGCTTGATAATTCAAACGTTTTACAATCAGATGACGTGGCTGTGCTGGCTGAATTTAGCACATTAAATTATGATCTACAGGAGGAAGAAAAACCGGCAAAAGCTGTTACCAAGACTAGTGAGCAAATAATTGAAAACCTAAACGAAATGATGACTGACAATTTAAAAGATAAAAACGTAACGGAAGAAAAAAGTGTAAAGGTGTTGACAGAAAACTCTGAATCTAAAGAACAGTCAAAATCACAGGTCAAAAGTAATGACGTGTCAATGTACGAAGATGACCAACTTGATTTGCATCTGTCGGCTGATCAGTCTGTAGAAAGTCACCGAAACACCAAGGTTCTCCAGGATATTTTCGATGACTGGCAAGATGAGAACGGTGACGAGGAATCGGCTGTCCAATCCTCATCTGCTCCACAACCCAAAGATCCACAAGACTCAGTCGAAATGGAACTGCAGAACCTGTTGAATGAAGAGGTGCAGCAGGATGCTGCTCCTGGTTCCAACACAACTGAAAATTTACTCGGTAGTTTGGAGAACCCCAAAAGCAGTGAGCATAGAGCAGAAAGTTCACCTGTAAAATCGAAAATTGTCGTGGTGGAAAAATTGCCTAGCACGTCTCCTGTCAAGTCTCTTAAATCGCCCTTGGTCACAAACTCACCCAAAAGTACGTATTTTTTTGTCTTACTAAATTTTTTGATGCAATGTTAACTCACTACAATGATTCATGATTCCAGATATTGGACAATCACCAAAGAATATCAGCTCAAATCAGTCAGAACCAAAGAAGTTCCAGTCACCCAGACCAGGTGTTAAGGTTCCAGGTTCTCACCTGACCAGTCAAATCGCAACAACTGCCGAGGTGAACGAGGTCTTGAAGGAGCGACTAAAGGAAAAACAAAAAGATTTGCAGAATCCAAAAACCGCTGACATTGTTTTCGTGAAAAAAATGTCGCAAAGACTCTCCAGTCAGCTCTCAGCAGCGATTGTCAGCAGTACCAGTACCAGCAGTACTCCTATTCCTTCACAGCAACAAAAAGAAAATAGTGACAGCGAAAAGGCTCAGTCTTCGGTAGTTGAGCTGCCATCAGCGTCAGTCGAGCATAATAAGTCAACGACCGATAACGAGCTGTTGGCCATTCTTGAAGGAGACGTTGATCCTGACTGGTCCAATCTGAAACCCCACGGAGTATTGGAGGAGAATAACAAATTTAGCGAGTCTCATAGTTCCAGCGAAGGGAAATCTGGTAAGCTAATTATTGGTATAACGTCTTCCTTATCTCCAAAAGCAAAAAAAAGTAAGACAAGTTAATAAATTTTGATTAAAATTGTTCTAGGATCAAAACTGGATCCAGCAACGGAAAGGGAATTGGCATTGAAACAACTTCTTGAATTACCAACTGCTTCGTCAAAGAAGAAGCAGATCAGGAAGTCTGTGAAATCTAGCAAAGATGGTGCAAAAGACGAAGATGAAGTGATTCACATACCTTCCGAAGATGATTCTCCTCGGCAGGAAAGTAAGACACCTAAGCAGCAAAAAGAAAATATCCACAACACGCGGAGTAGCGATTCTGTGGAATTGGGCATCGAAGAATCAAGATCAGGCAGGAAACGTAAACTCACAGAAAAAGCTCGGGAACATGAGCTTAGCGTAAAGCGGCAAAAAGTAATTAGACATTTTATTCTTACGGCAATCATGCGTATATTTGAAGTATTCTTTACATAATTACATTAGAGTTTGATTTCTTCATTTTCATCAGTTACCTCATAGTGGTTTATTGTTTTGTATGCATCATTACAATTTTATTTATACTTTGTTTTTTTATGTGTTTTCATCTTCAATGTTAATTTTGTGTACAGAATAGGGGTTCTTTCTTACATTTTACACAGGTTATCAAGAGCAAAGTTACACCAGATGTCAAAAAGGCTTCAGAGCCCGCCGATGTTGACGAAGAAAAATCCGAGACAAGTAGTTTACAAGTCAAAGTTGAAACCCAAAAACCAACTGAAGAATCAAGCCCTGCTGTTACACCCAAGTCTGATTCCAAACAGAAGAAAGTAGACGTGAAGCAATCACCTTTGGCAGCAAAGACACCAACTAATATCAAAGACAAAGAGACTCCTCCAAAGCGCTCTTCAGTCGGAGTGTCGAAAAAAGATACACCAATAGTCAAACGCAAGCTCACTGTGAAGAATATACTCAAACCAAAAAAGACAGCTACAAAGACTAAATCGTCATCACCGTCGGTGACGTCGGCGAGTAAAGTTACGACAGAAAAGTCGGCCAACACAAATACTACTCCCAAGGAAAAGAAGAAAACTGTTAGCGAAATCGATAGGTTGTTGCAAGATGAGGGCGTCGTCAACATGCTGTACGATGCTGAACAACCAGACTCGCGCAAGAGGCTGGTACCGATAACCAAATCCCAAAAGAAAGTCATGGATGTAGAAAAAGCCGAGAGGGAGCTCAAGTTCCGTGCCAAATTAGTTAAGAACGCCGTACTTAGGTTGAGAAACTCGGGGGCTCCAACTTCTAAAGTTTCCCCAAGATCTAGGAGGACTGTCGCTGCAGCTGCTGCCCTAGCACACGTCGAGCAGACATCTGCTCAGCAGCTCGATAAAAAATCGACAGATTCCAGCAAGGCGTCCGATCAACTAGATTTTATCCTGCCCGCGAAAATACGCAACGCAGCCGATGCTTCGCGCATCATTCGTAGACATTCCTCGAGTTCTTTCTCGAGTACTTCGGTAAGTCCGCGAGTCAGCATTGATCAGCCACCAGAATCGCTCAACCTTGAAGAGCTTGAGGCCACCGTAAAGAGCAAAAGAAAAATGTCACACGACTCGACCGACAAGGCAGACGTGAAAAAGAACAAGAAAAAGTCCATATCAAAGTTGGAAACGGAATCGAAGGAAAGTGATAAATCTTCGGTCAAAAAGGAGCCAGTTAAGAAAGGGACAAAGTCAAATGCCTCAACTCCACCGTCAGTTAAGGTAGCTAATAAAAACAAAAAAGTACCAAAGGGCAAGTCATCGGTAGAGTCGTCACCAGCTGACACAAAATTACCATCAAAAGGTGAGGAGGAGTTGTCGGCTTGTCTGGCTGAAGCTGCGACAGCGCTCTCCTCTAGCAGCAACGCGACGCGATTGTCGGGTGCATCGGCGAATAAGAAAAAAGGAAGTACAAATGCTACAAAGTCGCTCGACGATGAAAAAGTAGTGGGCACTAAAAATTCATTTAGCAATAAAGAAATTAGCGTTAGGTACCATGGACACCTCGTACAGCTGATACTGACACCGTCAATGCCGGCATCTGGAATACGGAATGCTCTCACGATCGCGGTAAATACATCTTGCACCTTATACACAAATATAATGTTTTTGTAACACGCATTGACAATTAATATTACAGGCTATGCGCGAGTTTTGCGATGCTTTGACAATTTTGAGGAAAGACGACGTATGTCGCGTGGTTCTGTTCACATCGACGGGAACAAGCTTTTGTGAAGGTCTGGAACTTTCATCGCTTCTACGAGAAAATGTAGAAGAGCGGAAAAGTCGTGCCAAAGAAATGGCCGTGGCCCTGAAGTAAGTTACCACTTGTTATTTGTATTTTAATATTTAAAACAAAAAACAGTTTAATAATGTATTTCTTTTCATTATCACTTTCAGAGAGTTTCTAAGATGTTTGGCCTCCTTCAATAAACCCATAGTAGCAGGAGTACAAGGAGCAGCAATTGGTTTGGGAGTAACAATGCTACCGCTATTTGATCTCGTAATAGCTAGCGACAAAGCTACATTTAGCACACCTTATGGCAAGCTTGGACAAATTGCCGAAGGAACTGCCATTTTAGCTTTATCCCGTAGTCTTGGAACTTCAGTGGTAAGTGTATAACATACCTATAACTGTTTTGAAAGAGCTATCAATTTTTCATGTCTCATTCATCTGTGGTTATTTTTTTTCAGACTAACGAGCTGCTATTGGGTGGGAGAGTTTTAACAGCTAGTGAAGCTTTAAGGGCGGGACTTGTCACCAGAGTCTTGTGGCCTGACAGATTTCAAGGAGAACTGCTGCCCTCTTTAAAAACCATGAGTGAACAATCTGCGAGGGTAAATATTTGAATAATTTTTAAACACCACAAAAATTTAATGAAACATTCATCATGTCAATTTTTCATTACAGTCCATGGAAGCAACAAAAGCGATGCTTCGTCGGAGCCTTCGAGAAAGTCTTGATCCATACTTGGAGTCTGAAAGCTACCTACTTGTTCAACACTGGATTTCATCAGAATGTCAAGGAGCTATGAAAGCCTTTATTGAAGAAAAGGGTCAGTGAACGCGACATGGTGATGAAACAAAGTAAACAATATTTTAGGGATAAAAGAAAGTTTGTTTCCCTAATGCAAAGAAAACGTCAAATTCTTTGTCACTTTTGGATGTAGTGATGTACAGATTAATTAAAAATTCGATGATAGTAACTGTAGGTTCAATGGCATGCGCATGCTATTAAGTATAATAATCGCGTCGTAATAATTAAGATTAAAAATAATTGTTCTTCATTTCTTCAGTGAATTTCAGATTTTTGTTCAACCTTGATTTTTCTTATTATTAAATGTCCTTAGTATATTATTTGATCAATTCATAGATTTTTGTTTTTGTAAAATAATTGCAAACTTCTGCTTTAAATGGTCTAGCATACAAGGTGTTTATACGTACGTGTGAATAATGAAAAAAAAAGTATATCAATATGCAATTATATTTGTACTGTAGACTTGGGCTGTTTGATAGAAACCCTCGTAACTCTTGAAGTATAGTTGAAATAGATGTGAAGCTTACGATTGCGATGGATGGAAACGGTCGATTTATTTTACATATTTACGAGTGACAAAATAACTATTAAAGTATTTTAATAACATACCTGTAAGTTTAGATGTAATGACACATTATAATCTAAGCATTTTGTCGAAAACTTTACAAAAAAATTATTAGATTTAAGTAATGTCCAAAACCTTGACAAACTTGTTCTTGTTACTACTGCACTCGTATAACACCGAGAACATTTTGTTTCAAAATGAAAAAAATTTTTTTTTTTTATTTACATGTGATTTAATATAATTATTAAAATATAATTTTGAGAACCGCGTTCAACGTTCAGAATATAGTGAATCTGTCATACAGTTAATTATGTATTAAAATTGTGTAAAATTATATTTTTTATACACTGTTAATTAATATACTTGCCATTTTTAAATTTTGTAAAAGCTCCAGGTGTAATTTGATGTTTATTATAAATTTTGGATAAGTAGCAATTTAACAACAGAATGAAGAAATATTGAGTTAAAACGATTTTTTTTTTATTTGTCGCAATGTGAAGAAAAAAAAAATCTTTTTCGATTTTGATGAAAAATACTCGTCAAAATATGCACAATTAGTTTCATTGCTCAATTCGGTCGTTTTCAGTGTTCAAAAATCATTTTCTTTACTCAAATGAGACACTCGTTGACATTAAAATTAAAAAACGAAGAAAAAAAATCCCCCTTCAAAGCCGACCAATTGAATCGACATTTTCATATCTTTTTTTAGTCTACTTACCTATTCATAATGTAAATATTGAATAAAGATTTTACCCAATAAAAAGACAAACTCTCAAGTCAATAATTTTCCGAAAGCTCCTATACCGGACAGAAAAAAAAACAAAGTTAGCGCCTCCAAACGAATCAAAACCCACAAGGTGATGAAAAATTTTCCAAACCCGCACCACACGCTCGCGGACACGATAGAAAAAAAAAAACAAAAAAACAAAAATCCCTCTCTTCTACCCATCCCTGGCACCGTTTCTATTTTTCGATCGCGGAAAAGTCCGCAAGCTCGCCCACACACGTGGCTCTTCCGTCCACATACACCGTTTCCCTCCCTATACATCTTTCTATCCCCGATGATGAACTCGCTTCTGGTGACTATGGCATACTCTCGCGACGGCCGCGACTACAGATAAAGAGCAACGTCAGTCTTTGCGGAGCGCTCGGCTCGTCAAAAGCACCACAAGGCCGGACGTACGCATTAACTTGTAGCGTATAGGGGGGACACGGGGGCGCCCCGTCAAGGACCTCCGTTGTCTCCGCCACGATAAGATGTTTTTCGCGCACTTAGACCGGCAACGCTAATTTTCCCCCGAGCTTGCGAGAGAGCTTTTTTGTTCTCGGTGCTGTGTACGACGAGAGGCCATACTCGGCGCGCACTTTTATGCGCTTTTTTTAAATTCGAGGTACACCGAGAAGAAGAGACGGTGTTGTCTCTCAAGGAAGCCGATTTTGTAAGCCATCATATATACCAACACTTACCGATACTTATCTCCTCTTGTCTCTCTTTGTGCTTCCGTGCTGCAGTGCGCGCGTGCGGGCTGCTGCTCTCTCGTTTTGTCGCGTGCAATTCAATGGTCGTCAAAGTGTCGGTGGATTTTAATCGATGTAGCATAAACCCCCGCCTCGCGTTACGTTTTACCCGCTCTCTCCCTCCTACCGATCTTTTTGAGTTTTTAGCGATTTCGGTTAGTCGATAATGCATTTAGAAATACATAAGCGTGTCTCGAGGGAGAAGTTGAATACTCGACGCCCCTGTAGCGCGGCTGACGAAAATAAGCTGTAAACGTGACGCTTCGTCGGATTAGTCGATTCTCAACTCTATGCTTGACGATTATTTTTAGCGCGTGTGCTTTTTTCTTCTTCTTCTACGTCTTCTTTTCCCTTCGTGCAGTCAAAAGGACAAAAGCCATATGCGCTCTCCGACGCGAGTGCGGGTTTTCTTAATTCATTTGGCGAGCTAATTGTTACCGATGACCATGCACCGATTTCGATTTTTCGATCGATCGGCGTGATCGGTGATTCATTCGCGTGTCCGTGACAATCACTTTGCCGACAACGCAAGCACATTCGAGACACTGTAGAGTTGGCTTTTCCGCATGTACAGCACAGTCGAATTTCTCCCTGTACGGAAGGCGCGTACTTTCCCATCGATGAGAAAATTCGTACTCGCGGAGGAAGAATGAAGGCGCATCACAGCCGGCCGAGGACGACGACCATAGCCTGGGATCGTTTACCGGCGATGGCGCGTGAGTATATAACACTATTGCATACGTATAAAATTACCCGCACAATAGGGAAGGGGAAAAACTCGCGGATGGAGCGGTAATAAAAAAAAAAAATTGGCTTTCGCGACACAAGAGCCATTGTTACACGTACAAAGTTTTGCGTAAGCCTCTTTTATTACAGGTAATCATGCACGGGTTGTACTGTTCCGTGGCACCCGCGTCACCCCGACTTTCCCGCTTTTGTTCACTCAACCCGGCAGTGACTATCTTCTGATGGGCGCGTGAAAGCGATTGATTGACGGCTCGCGTTGATTTTTCGAGCTATTTCCCCACCTCCCCCAAACTAAAATCTTCGGGAATAAAGTGTGTACACCTAAAATTAAATAGCGCGCGTTGAGTGTATATACGTGCGTGGGTGACAAGGCCTCTTGCGTACGGGGCGCTATAAATCCGTCGGATCTTCGTCTTAGCGGATCGACGCTCGAGTTTTAAATAAAAATACACCACAATTACTTCTCAATCACTGTCGAGAACTTACACATATACACACGTTTCCTACATTAATCACCTTGAATTGTAGTGTACATCGGCGTCGCTGCAACGAATGATTTACGCTACTCTTCTTGCGTCCGGAAGATTATTTATCAGGGACCAAATCTCGAGCGCCCGATGAATCACCCATCCACGGTGCAAGGACCGAAATCCAAACGAAAAAAAGGAGACGCGTCTGCGTTTTGTCATCATTAAAAATAGAGAAAAATGATAATAATAAAGTCAGCGTTTCAGACATCGCAAAGTAAATAAAAAGAAAGAAAACGTTTTGTCTCTCTGTCTCTCGTCGAGTGTCAAACAAAGGCGCGCGAAAACGCCCCTTCGTTCAAACATACTTTTCCCCCTCCCCCCCATCTCTTCTCTCGGTAAACGATGACCTTCGGTCTCCCCTCCCTTGGCCCTCTTTTATTTCTTAACGGACAATCCTTCCCCGCGAAGAACAGTAGTCGGAGAGACGAGGACCGTCGCGAAATCTTACGAATACATGTGTTGGCGTCGCTGAAGGGGAGGAGGCGAGCCGAGGCAGTGGCTGGCAGGGTCAAGCTCCGAAATAAAACGCAATGCACGTGGACGCTAAACAAAACCATTATTTAGACGCCCCCGAACTCTCCGTATATATATACGCTGCGTTGTTCAGCGCCAATAAATTGCCACGTCTCCCTTCGCAACTTTTTTTTTTTTTCTTGGGAGGGTGATGTAGGTACATTTTATTAGGCACCAGGAGGAGGGGCGATTGATCGCGAACGGATGTACAATGCCAAAAGAAATGTATGTACATCGGATTTCGGTGTTTTTCTCGAAAAATCAATTACGGCTCTCTCGGTGAGTCAAATCATTCGTTTTTCTGCAACGTTGCCGACAATTCTACCAACGTGGCTTATTTTGATCGTCGCTGAAAAATGTTACACATTGTCTCACGAGGCAAAAAGATAGATTAATGTATATGTGAATCACAGTGATGATGTTTAAACTTGCGTAACTAGACGATGTTACGTTACTCTCCTGCGTATATATTATGTTGGTTGCGCGCGGATGGCCCTACGCATAAACCACGTAACATATACGTAACGTTGCTCCGTTATTAAAATTGTATATACTTGTACACTTTGTAATTGTTCGCATTTTTTGTTCACAAGTTGTAAAATTACAATCCTCGCGACGTGCCGTTAGCTGTTATATATTGGCCGTTTCCTCTATGCCTCGTCCCAGCGAGCTGTACGAGAACATTAAAGTATGTCATGATAAGACCGTCCTCTGCAGTGCACGCAAATTTACATTAGCGTATGAAAAAAAAAAAAGGTGTTTTTGTCTTCTCTGTAGTCACGATCAGCCTCTTGCACATCGCATTGCGAGGATTATTTGTTAACGACACACGCAGTTAGTGACATAAAATACTATAAATAGGTACGCGTGTGCATGGTACACGCAAATGGTGTTTGGTACACGGAGGTGATCGGTTGAGTGTGAAAGTGCAAGAGAAAGGAAACGCAGTGACACGACCGAAATTTCATGACCACGCGGTTGAGAGGATAACATAAGACGCGTATGCATGTATATATAAATAGACAAAAACCCTTGTGCGCTTTGGAGAAAAAAAAAGAGCAAAGATAGGGTTGGCGAAAAACGCGACGCGAAGTGAGGGTTTGGCGCCAAGTGGGAGGGACGATGTGAAAAATAAAATTAACAAAAAAATAAAGCTTGTGCGTGTGTTGAGTCGTGGTGTGTCTTTCTCAATTGAGAGGCGATCTTTTTTTTTTCTTTCATTCCCGTAGGACGATCAACCAAGCATCTATTCGTTGCCTCTGTGAGTGAGAAAAAAAAAAGAAAAGTTGGAGCTAACCGAACAAGCGACGACTCTGCTTCGGCGAAGCCTCCTTTATTAACTCGGACAGCTGGAGCGATTGATCGAGGAGCCTCTCGTGCGTGAGGTCACTGCTGGAAAATTTACCGATTCATTGAAAAAAAAAAGAAAAAGGCCAACAATCGTATGTGCACGCGCGCAAACTGAAATAACCACTAGACGATTCCGTCGTCTTTGAAAAATGTCAATGGAATCTTTTCTTTTTTTCTTTGCCAACACCTATTGGAGAAAGAAAAAAAGACACACACACACACAAGTTTGCGCAGCAGTTGATAAGCAGCTCGTGAAAAAGAGGCCCGCTGACGCCCGAGGGGGATAAATTTCTTCTTGGCCCCGCGAAACCAAAAGCGAATCGCGAAGGGCACGCGCTCACGTTTGCCTGCGTGTGTGTGAGTCATTTTTGAGCGGAGAGAAAACGAGGACGACTGAACGACTCCCTGATGTTATAGTGCGATGGTGTTTGCGCACATATGCCGAGAGTCAGGCTGCCGCGAGGCTTTTCTTTTTTATTTTCGTCCTGTATATACACATGGGATACATGTACGTGCACACGCCAGAATTGATCCTGGTATGAGCTAAAATCCATGTCTTTTGTGTAATATATACATATTAGTTGTATTAGATGTATTATGTTAATTGGTGTGAATTGCGCGGATCATCCCTATGTATATAGTATATACTGGACGAAACGCGGGTATTTTCATACGTACGTGCACTTGAAAAAAAATATTCACTGTCACCTTGAGAGACATTGTTACCTACGATGTTATTATTTTTTTCTTTTTTTTTTCACATTCCATGGCAGGTTCGTTTTTTTTCAACTAGAAGCGCGTTATCGGCGTTCCGTATCTGGCGAAATCGAGAGTTCGTTACTCCTTGCGGTTAATCGGTTTTATTGATCGAGCGCTCGGGTTCCGTCGTGGCACAATTTGTTGTTTCCTTTGTTAACAGCCATACGGTCGCTCTTTTTTTCTTTTCATTTTTTTTTGCTCTCTCGCTTGGCGGTCTTTTAAACGACTCTGATTAGGTACGTATCTTCTGTCATAGCCAAGTGCATTAGCGAGACTAATTTCAATAGGACATGACGAAATGGTTGAATATCCTTTTATGCAAAGAAACAAAAATCCACCCCTTTGTGAACTATTATTTATTATTCACGGGTTCAGTCTTTGAACAATTTATTATTAACGACAACTAGGGCTACCTTATACATATGCTTATATGAAAAAGATCACCCTCCGCCTCTCCCCCTGCACGGCTACTGTTATACACGTACATATAGTAAAGAATGACGCTTACCAATTGAGAGTTGGAGATAGTAGAGTATAGGTATACAAAAAAAGGAGTGCTGATGACATATTATGTGTTTTCAATTTTAACCAAATCGGTATAGTTGAATATCGGTCGAAGAACAAAACGCGCAGTTTTAAAAATAAACTGCGACAACGCGTCGTCGGTCCGATCGAACTGTTCTCTAAAACGTAAGTTTTCCTCCCCGATCGATGAGTACAAATATACACAAGTACCGTGATAAAACGCAAGTCTAGCTCATACACACATGTAAGTGACAGTAGGGGGTAATTGGATTATTTATTCTAAAGGCAGCCCAATGGGGAGGGAGCAAAGCCCAACCGATCGCTCATGGAACTCTTTGGCCATCATCGGATGCTATTATCTCCGTCACCCTGTAGTCCATTATACTGTCCTCATGTACACTGTTTTTTTCAACAGACGAGTTATCTAAAACACTGAATTCCTACGTGTTTCAAACGTATACCAGTGTACGAATATATTACGGCGCGGATATCGATTTTTCGCTCATTTCATTTAAATGTCATCCATTGATAAGATACTCCATACACCAGGTCGGCCCCTTTTAATTATCCTCGAATATTTTATGAAAAATACGTTAAACTATTACTTTTTCAGTGAAAAAACAAAAAAAAAAACAAAAAAAAAAAACGAAACTATAAAAAATCCATTGCTATAACGCCCCAGTGAGCCGAGCGTAGGTGTACACACGTATACATAGTCGTGCTTATTTCGCTTTACACATGGGTCTACCCGGTTCTCGGTGGTATGGCTGGTACACTGGTAGTAGCGAGCAAACGTGCTTGTGTGTGTCTCGTACACTGGTAGGTATATATATATACATATATATTTCCGGGTCTGTGGCCGCGTGCATGCGCGCCGAAGACGTGGTGGCATCCATCTTGGAGCAGCTGTATGTCTGTTACATTCTCTCCTCTTTAACGTCCCAAGTTGGCTCCGTGTCAGAAGGTAGTAGTGATCGGAACGGTCTCGGCAATGGGTGCGCTTCCCCGTAGCTGCGGGACTCCCATCGGTCGGGCGGTGCAGGCCTCCAACGACATTCAGTCATTATCGCCAGCCGTCCTCGACCTCAGACTTGCACATCACATGCAACCTTAGCCTGCATATCACCAGTGCCTCCGTAGTAGGTACTTACTTACGCTCGTTTCGCGTAATCGCACACCATCGCGGCTGTATTCGTTTACACGCGCGCGTTTTTTCTTTTTTTTTTCACTCCGAAACTCGCGGGGGACCAACCGTGTCACTTGGGTGTGTGTGTGTGTGCGTGCGTATTTATATTTGCGCAATACTCGAGTGTAAATATATAATATGACAATGCCCCGCCGTGTCCTTTATTGCTGCTCGTGCGGCAGGTAAGCTCATTGTTTTTTTTTTTATAATTTATATTCATGTAGGTACGTACGTACATGAGCGTTAAATACACTGGATGGAAAAAAAGGAAGTTGAAGGCCGCGGCCTTCGCTAGACGAGTTTCCGCGTTTTTTTTTTTTCTTTTTTTTTTCTTTTCATTCCTCCACTTATAATACCTACACTTATATACTCATTCTCAGAGTTACGCGAGTGTGCGATGCATTGTTTACGTCGTATATATAGTATTCGCTCGGGTTGGAGGGGAGCCGCGGCGGTTAGCTCCGAAAATCTTGTTTCGGAGCGGTGGCACCGAACTTTTTTTTTTTTTCTTTTACCCCCCTGATTTATCAAAAAGGGCTGCAGTGCGTTCTTACGATGCTTGTACCTTCGGACGTCATAGTGGCGCACTTGACGTTTTATTAAAAGTAACAATATACAGCTTAACGCGATCAATGACAATATATTATACACGGATTGCACGATATCTCGAGGTATAAAACACGTGTGCACGCAATATTACATTATATATGTACTGTATTTGGGTGGTAGCGCAAGCTCATCAGTGATATTGCATACACGTATATATATATATATTATTCGATTCCGGAGCACGTATGAAAAAAAGGTGTCCAGTACAAAAATAACAAGTGATGATGCACGCTTGTACGATCTTGTGCTCTACTTGCGTATTTTTTTTTTTTTTTTTTTTTTGTCTCTTTACGCGTCCCGTATTGCGCGACTTTGCATTGCATATGTGTACCGGATGGGGAGAAAAATATATAGCACATCTATACGCGTTTGATCCAGATCAGCGTGCACGGGTTATTGAGTGTATTTTATATCGGTATATATATGTGTGTATGGATACACATTATACGTGCGATCTCCGTAGCAAATATTATAGGTACGTTCGTTACTCGTCTCGTATCGTATAATCTATATGTATGGGTACTCATTTTCTCCCATGTGTAGTTACACGTCACGTTTTCAATCAATCGATGATTAGTATAGCAGCTCTAGCTGTAATTAAAAAAAAAAAAAAAAAAAAAAAAAATCAAGTCGCCGTACTAGATCGTAGAGTATATCGTCGTATAAAGCGTTCGAGAAGTAGTGGAGGCGCGACGTATTTTCACAGTACATAGGTGTATATACATACATGTTTAACGTATAGGTATGTATAGACTAACCGATCGTTATAATGATTGTAGAGGAGCGCGAGAGACAGAGAAAGAGAATGAGATGCTAGTGTGTATACATATGTAACGTGAACGGCGCGCACGTGACCGGCCGCGGAATAAAGGTGATATTTTTCACCCTTACACATATGTCATTATAATCATATTTTCACAGCATATACATATATTTAAGTATAATGTCGATGTTGGAGCTTTCGTGTTTTGTCGATCGCTCGTGACAACAACCACAATCGTATCACTCCTAATGTTTATTACCTTGCCATATGTTGTATGTGTACATATTTATATACTAGAATATATTTGTCCATTGATTGAAGAAAGCTCCATTGAAAGCTTCACCTTGCTATGTGCTATGTATAAATACGTGCGCGATTTGGTCTTTTTTTTTTTTTTTTCCTTCTTTCTACTGCTCCTGTGTAATGTGACATTTCTTTTTTTTTTTTTTTACTTTGAGAGTAAACCACACGTACGTGTGTAAATCGAAATCGAGCTACCTTTAAAAAGAGTGGTAATAAAAAATGCCAAGCTATACGTGACATATTCTTCGGGTCGTTGTTGTCGTATACGTTTGCGTGTATACCGTAGCATAGCTATACGTGTAACGGATCAAGGCGAACTTCGGTTCTCTGATTTCAAGCTCACGCGAGAGTAGGCTATAAAAAAAAAAAAAAAAAAAACAAACAGGGGAGACTCGTTTCAAAGTACATGTACGTGTGTGTATTGAACGAGGCGAGCGATCGATAAACTTGAGGTATTGAAATGGAAATCGGTTTCGGACTACTTGTACAAACGGTTGTCGGGAGCACATGGGCGATGGTTATTGTTCCAGAGATCGGTAACTATTCGGGGGGACATCAGGTAAACGACGAAGAAAAGAAGACAACGCTCCTACGTACCGATTTTTCCGCTCGTCGTCGCTCTTGGAATGGAAAAAAAAAAAAAAAAAAAAAAATCAACGCAACCGCGTTTTTAACTTACACGCACCGAGGAAATTTCATCAGGGAACGACTCGCGATTTAATTGCAACCGGTTCACCCACTCTCGCGAATTTAACCAACATATATATTCACACACGATCTCTCCCCCTCCCCCGGCGCTTTTTACAATTTTATTAAAGATACACAGCGACACCTCACCCGCTGCAAATGATTCGAGCACATGTATACATATATACCTACTTTCACTCTTTTGTAGCTAAACGTGCAAGGTGTTAAGAGCGCGTATACGTTACGTGAGCGTAGGTCCTACTTATCCCCGTGGCGCCAAGTGCGAGTCACACTGCCGATTTCGCGCGCGCACGGCGAAAGCCGTACAATCGACTCGCGGCTATCGAGACGCGCGACACAAGGCCATTTATACATGTGTAGGTATATACACACACAGACAGAGGAAGAGAGATGAAACCCGAGAATTCAAGAGTCATGTACCTACATGTACATTGTATCCGAAGCGATGTAATAGCGCACGTTGAAACGAGTAGATATGATGTAAAGAAGCCAAGGAAGGGGTGTGGGTGTACTTAATACCACAGGCTCGATGTCACCCCGATTCTGATATTTTCGTACTTGAACTTATTTTTCCTTCAAAATCTCCCGTTTCATGGTACTTAATCCAACAACGCGAGGGTGGGTCGTTGTAGAGACATATGAAAAATCTCACAGCCACTCCTGCGTAAATGACGTATCGTAAATCGTTACAGATGTTGGGCGCATTAGTGGTTGCCTGCTGAAAACCGGAGGGCCGGCTCGCTCGGATGGACAAGTGGAGGAGCAGTAACGGGAGGGGCTCGGGCAACAAGCCGTCCGATCCCATCCGCGCGGGGGACACTCTCCTACCCCCGACTCGCCGAGCATTGGCAACGTGTACCGGCCCATCGCCTGCCCCGCTGGACAAGCGGAGACACAAAAAGTGGTCCTTCGATGGTATACTGCGGCGATTCGCCTCGTACCTCGACGCCCAATCTTCCTCCTCGACCTCGTCCCTAGAGGACCCGACCAACAGGCCCAGGAGACAACCAAAAGGTCAGAACGGGTCGGAATCCTTATAACGATGACACGCGTACACGCGTCGCGCTCTTCTCCGGATTGATTTATATATACACACCGGTGGGCTATTTCCGTGCCCCTCTGGTTCCTCTATTATTCGGAGATCGCGGATTCTCCATAAATCCAGACGCAAACGATCCCCCCCTCAACCCATACATACACGCGTGTGTACATATTCTAATAATACCCCGCGACGACGCACGTGTACGTGTCTCCCTAAAGTTACGCGCGGTACTTGTAACGGATGTTGGTGCTCCATCGCAGGCAAATCGGCCAAGGGAAATCGGCGGACGGCGGCCGGTTATGCAGGCCGAGTTAACGACAACGGCATCGATTGCACTCCGGCGTGCGTCTACGGTCGAGCGGAGGATCTGGTTAACGCCAACGCCGTGCCATTGACGATGACGTCGGCGACGAGCCATCACCAGCACCTGGACGTGGTCAGACAGCATCACTCGCGGAGTTGCAGCGACGGCTCGTTGGAGGGCGCGAGGAGTAGGCAGCCGAGGAGGGCCGGCAACGTCAAGGCCAGGGCCGAGGCGAAGCGGGACCGGCTCCGCGTGATCGGCACCGGCAGTAGCAGCACCGAGGGCTTGAGCAGCAACGAGGAGTCGTACGGTATCCATCAGCAACAGAGGTTGAGTAGGAACGGCGAACCGGTGAACGGGAAGAGAAGGTCCAGGGCCTCGAGGACCGAGAGGTACCTCAAGCGCATCTGCAACGGGACCAACGCGGCCAATGGCACCGGGAACAAGCTCGAGGTGGTCGGCGCGAGGAGCACCGAGTTCCAGCCGATCGAGCGAGCCCCTCGCACCGGGTACGCCAAGGACTACCTCAGGGGTGAGCCTGTGCTTCTTTATTCTTTTCTTCCTTTATTGATAAAAACGCGTCATTTCTTCGGCGTACGTGTTTTTTGAGAGCTACACTGACAGAATGGGAAACATAGTGTCCAGGTGTTTGTCGCCGCAAGAAAAGTCAGCGTGTTGATGTTTGACCTTTGGAAAACACGTGTCCTTGAAAAGTATATAGGTGCAGGCACAAACTCGGATCGGATCACAGTTACGTGGCCGTGGGGCATAACGTGGCCAACCATATTGTGTATGTGCCCGCGGCGGTGCGAGATAAATCGTGTATACCTAGTACTTGTAGGTCATCGTGACTCTATTTTCGAGTTGCGTGTACGAGACACGCCTCGTTATCTTTGACTTTTTAAAGGTGAGCAGTATACGTAAAACTGACCAATGGGGACGAAATTTCACTTTTCGCCACGTATAACGTAGCGGTACTTACATATATGTGTATCATTCACTTCGAGAGGGTATCTATTCGAGCTTATTGACACTCGAGACAGTTTGCTCTGTTTCGTCGAACAAGCGTTTTACCGTTCGACTTTGCGTTACGGGTGTATGCTTGAGTGGCAAATACATACATAGCAATATATAAATCCAAGGAAAAATGTACAGTGTCTTTGCGACGTGTTTGTTAAATGTCCAGTTAAATTAATTATCCATCATTTGCAAAAGGTATACACGCGAACGGCAACGACAACAACAACAGGGAGGTGATGAACGAAAACTACTGTTACGCGCGTGCGTCCGACATCGGCGTGAATCCTCTAGTCCAGCAGACCCTGCAGTACTTTTCCGAGTTCGACCGCCACATGGAGGCCCAGCAGAGGACCTACCCTGGTCCCCGAAACCACTGCGCTTACCAGGAGCGTCGCAATCACACGAGACCCCAAGCCGTGGGTATTGGAGATCGCGCGACAGTGCACGCGGGGGTGCAAACTGACGTGCCCCAAGTGCCACCGAAGCCACCCTCGAGGGACCACAGGTCCAAGATCTTCGAGAAGCCCGAGTCGATAGACAGGTACATCAAGTGCCACCAGCGGGTGTTGGGGACCGCGCCCAAGGACTACGATCGGTGCAGCCCGAGGCCGGTGGCCCAGAGCCCCAACTCGGAAGTTAGGACCATCATCGAGAGTAGCCACTCGCCCAGGGATCCCCTTCGGGAATCGAGCATCGGAGTGAGTGACGGCTCGAGATCGGTATGGTGTTTTGTTTGACGAAGGGTTGAACTTTTTTCTCCTTGTCACAGAGCGCGAGTCGGGATTGCCCAGGCGAGGAGGGGAGAAACGATGGCGAGAGCAGTTATTACGAGCCGGAGAAGCAGCGCAGCCCGAAGAACCTCGAGGAGGCCCTGAACGAGCTCGAGGCGATTTACAACAGCTTGCAGCTCGGGGACGAGGAGCTGCTCGAGCGCGCGGAGAAACGGAGCATGGAGGAGTTCCACTACCGGGGCATCACGGCTGCCAGTCCCGAAGATCTCGCGCGGGACTTGGCCTCGAGGCGTCGGACCTGGGCAGAATCGGTCATGGTAAGTTTCCTTCTTTTTTTTTTTTTCCATTATTTAGCCACAAAGCGCTGTGGTTGCGTACGAATATTCCTTTGAAAGTGCAAGTACGTAGCAATTACAAGCTATATTAAATTGGTAACGAGTGTATTATCAGTACACAAATTGAAACAAGGTGTCGATATCGATGATGAAAGCTATGGGGAAAGTGCTTATTCATGAAGGTCCATAAACTACAGCGATAATGATGATGATACGTTGCTTTCGAAAATCACTGATCACTTTGTCGTTACACACCAATGACAATGCCATTAGACACTTATGCATGTATAAATACGTATATATGTGCGCGGGACAATAGCGATCCAAGAAAAACTTTTGCTCACGAATAAACAAGGTACCATTTGTTTTTAATGAAATGGAAAACAAAAAAACTGATTCCATTGTCCGTTCGGATATTTAATTGTTATATTAATCATCAGAGGTGATTAAAAAGTTCTACATACGCGATGGAGATTAGGATCCAAAGCCCATAATCATAATAATCGCGAGTGAGTCACTGTGGCTCTATACAATCTAGACCGTAGGGAGGGACCGTTATGAAAAGCACACCATTAGCGGTGGTGAACTTTTGTCAAAGGATAAAACGTAAAATTGTTTTTTTGCGACCAGGGCGAGCCGGACCGATTGAAGGACGACATGGCCTACAGGAGGATGCACCCGAAGGAGCGGCCCTCGTCCGTGGACGGCCAATCGTCCCTGTCGAGCATCAGTTACCTAATGACGTCGCCAATACCCTCCCACCGGGACGAATACTACCCGATCGATCCTGCCAGGAGACCCCCCAACCGCAGAAAGGAGCCGGACGTCACCCTCGACGACGTGGTCTTTCGCAGCATGCAATACGCCAACAGCACCCTCAAGGTATCTTTTTCCCTTCTCTCCTCTCTTTGAAATCCGACATTCATACCTAACAAACGAACGCCCATGTGGTCAGGTCGCCGAACCGCAGCCGCCGTTCGGCATACCCTTGGGCCCGATAACGACTGCCGCCGAGTCCGATTACCTGCACACGAAGCCGTCTTCACCGCGCTCCCGCTCCCCGTACGTACCGAGCTGCGAGCCTGACCTCGTCACCGACGACCTCGCCTTCCGCAGCCTCCGCAAGGACGCCCTGCAATCGTCGCAACAGCCCAGCCGCCAGTCCAGCCCGTCCCTCGGCTTCCCCCCGAGTCCGCCCTCCTGGCAGCCCAAGCGCACCACCAGGTCGCTCTCGGCCAACATCTACGGCATCATCAACCCGCCCGGCGAGCCCAGGCGAACCAGCGACCCCGAGCTCCTGCCCACCGCTGCCAACCCTTGGCGACGTCGGGACGGTAAAAACGAGCCAACGGACGACCACGCGACCAGGAGAACTACCAACAATCCCAACCAAGAGCCACATCGCGGCAAGGACGATTCTTCGGAGGTCAGCGCCAAGTCGTACGACGAGTCCTCGGACGAGAGGATCCAGCCACAGAGCTCGCTCCGCCCACTCCCCGCCGACCCGTGAGTTGTTTCGGTTACCGTGCATTGTGATTATTATTATCTTGTCTTTTTAAATGATCCGCAGAGTGTACAAGGTGGGGAGCGATCGAGGCAGTAGCTACCTCTCGTCGAGCTGCAGCTCCCTGCCGGGGACGAGCCGCAACGAGCTGGCCCAGCCCGTCGCCGAGCAAGGGATGTCCGTGTACGAGAAGCTCTGCCAGGACCTCGAGAACCTCGTCCAGCTGACCAAGGGCATCGACGGGGAGTCCACGACCGCGGACGATCAGGGCGACAAGGTGGCTGGGAGCGGTTGTCCCGAGGAAGGGGCCACTCCGAACAAGTCCGAGGAGCTGATCGGAGATGGGGTTGAGGGGGAAACAAAGGGCAGCAGCAGCGTTGGCGAGTCGGGGAAAGTCGTCGAGAGCGAGATCGCGGCTCTGCTGGAGGTTTTGAAAGGGGTGGCGGGTGACGGTGACAGTTCCTGTTCGAGGAGGCGAGATGACGTGGCCAAGGATGAGCTTGAGGTGGCGAACAAAGGGACGGAGGACAACACTCAGTTTTTGGCGAGCATCGAGCCGACGGCTGGAACGCTGGAACGGAGACGGACCAGCTTGAACGAGGGCGCCGGTGGTAGTGGGGTCGTTTGTAGTAGCCATCAGCAACCCCATCGGCATCATTGGGAAGGTGAGATCAGGTCATCATCCGCTTGCGAGCGCAACAGCGCCGTTAGTATGGTGTGCAATAACGCCTCGCGCGACATGTATAGACTACTAACCGCCAAGTACATGTGTTACATTACTAATCACGTAACGGCCCAGTTTTGCCTGCTGCTTGTCTTCCTCCTCGTGCTGCTCTTAGCGATCGTCACTGTGCCATAGTCCGAGCCTTTTTTTTCCTCCTTTCTCTCTATATCTTCTCTCTCTCTACGCCCTAATCTCTCATGCATAAAATAACATGTATACGTTTCGGGGGGGGGGGGACAATTAAACAACAAATGCTATTTGTGTGTGTGCGCGTGTGTGTGTACATTTGCGCGGTGCATATTAATACAATGTAGACTAATCAACAAACGGAACGAAGCGCTGTAGAGGGCCGACGAGCACCGCATATTTTTAATCAAAAAGCCTGTTCATGTATCATACAAATGCTATTGCATTATTTTATCTACGTATGAGAAGCACATCATTATTATTATTACTATTATTATGATATAATATATGTATAGCTGTTAACTAAAAGACATCTCGTCGATAGGGATCATGTTGATTACTTAATAATTATTATTATTATTATTGCTGTTATATTGTTACTAATTGTTTATCAATCATCGTGCTTTTTTGTTTTGTTGATTTTATGACTATTATACATTTTACTTTGATGGCCCGAAAATGGATTATGAAGCTATATTATACAGTACGCTCAAGAGTCATTTACATTTTACATTTTTACGAGATGAGATATATTTTTGTACGTATTTTGTTTTCTTACGTCACTTGTATCTTATGTTTATATAGATCTGTTGGTTTGTTTTTTTACTTAACGTAATGGTGGCTAATACATACAATACATACAATATAATAACTGATGTGGTAACGTTCATAAATTTTTTTTCAACGGATACAATTGTTTAGAATAGTAGACATACGTTGTGGTGGTTGAAATTTCTTAGAGTCTGCTCAATGCGAGAGTTATTTTTATATAATTTACCTTCAAAACTTTACAGGAAAAAAATTATTAACGTTTACTAGATGGCAGTCAATAATTTTTCTCAGAGACAAGCTTCATTCGAAGGTGCGATATTTAATTAATATCATGGTGCAGATGAAAATCTCAATAATACAAGCGTTTCCCGATCCTTCGTACAATGAAATCTCACTCTCGAATCACACATGTTTTTTAATTCGAGCTTTTTTCTTTTCCATACTCTCCCCAAGAAGAGGGTAAATTCATTGAAATGTTTATGTTATAACTTCAACTAACAAAAATATACTTCATTAGCTCGTATTTCCATTCATCATAATATCATTATTTTTCATAGTGTTTCGACACTTGGTCCAATTCAGTTTTATATCGGTCAAATATTAATTGGCCTCTCGGATGTTTCGTACTCGAGTGTTTCGCTCGATTCATCTGATGCATCTGTTTCACCACACCCTCGATATTCTTCGTTCGCCTTATGTTTTCATCATAGTCACGTCATCTTGAAAAAAAAAAAAAAAAAAAAAATCAAACACAAAATATCATTGTCTGTATGCAAGAAAACTTTTTACAGTTGAGGAGATTTCCGCAGATGACTGCACAGCGGATCAAAGTGGAGGAGCAAGGACCCACGCTGTGGACTGGAATTAACAACAAAGTTGATCATTTTTTTTATTTATACACATTATTAAGAATTACATTGTTGGTAAACATTTTTCGCCTTTAAATATTTATAAATAAATAGATGGACAAAAAAATTACAAACAATTTCACTCAAGTAAGGCGGTATCGCTTCCTCCATCGTTCGTTCAATATAAACATCGAAAAAAATTTCATTGGTAAATTACCAGTCTGTTTTTCGGCATATTAAGACGACAAAAACGCCAACACGTTCGGCTGCGTTGGGACGAAGATCGTCGTTATCAGAGCACTTGACACACCTATGTGTACACATGTATTATATTGCGGTAAGTCGTTATTCAAGCTCTAGTGCTCTGTTCTTTCGCTTATGAAGCACTGAAACACTCGATGTTTTTTGTACAGCTCCTTTTGTAATACTTGGTCTGGTATACATTTTTCTTATCTTTGTTAATGGCTGAGAGTTACTATAGGACCTGGTATTTGATACCGATTTTTTCAAAAGTGTCGTGGCTGGTTGTACAAACAGTTTTTGGGTCTTTTCAACTATCGTTTTCATTTGTGGAATTTTCTACCAGTCAGTGATTAAGTGAGAGACTTTGTACATGAGAAATAAAATTAACATACTGTTGTTTGCGTCAGTACGGTTCCGTCCATCGTTTTTTCTTTTTAGTGCGCAACTGGGCCAAGAACCTCAAAGACAAATGTCGAACTTCGCGTTTGCATGCAATTACTCTTCCGATAGATTAGAAACTTGTATCCGTAAATTGTGAATTTGACACCAATACGGAGTATAATGTTTCTGTAAGGTATCACGAGATACATCTCACCAATTGGGGATTCAACGTAACAGAACGTACACACATCATTTGTCATTTCACGGAATATCATGCGGTACTTTTTACAATGGTGTGAGAATGGCACTGGTACTATAGTTAAAAAAAATCACTCGTATCTTCAAAACCTGTACATGCACTTGAAAGACTCGTACTTACAGCGCCTTGTAGAACGTAGATTCCTATTTCCGTTGTTTCAATCGAATATCGATTTAAAGCAATGTACGTGGTTCCTCAGTTAACGGTGGACTAAACTCTGGTTGATTTACAAACAATCCGAAATTTTTTGGAGATCTCGTTAACTTTTAATTGGACATCAGTTCTTAATTAGTTTGCTGTATGAACGAAGTGTGTTATATTCATCGTTTGTGGAAAACCGCAAAAAATCTGGGTAACTCGATAACTCAATTTTCGAGCTTCTTTTGATTGTTTTCGGTTGTACTCTTACACTCTGCGTATACATACATCGCATATAGAGCAATGGCTCCGAGGGTTTTAATCATTACTTTTAGCTGTGAATAACTACATGCATTCCTAATAAAACGAATAAACGCAACTCGCTTACGCACGTCTACATACACTTAACAAAAAAAAAGTGTCTTAATCGCTTTACTTACGCATCAAGTAAAACTAATTAATTTTAAAGAATTACGAAAAAAAAAGAAAAAAGTACATCTGTAGTCAAGTTATAAATACGTGAACATGATATTTCAACTGCACATGTTGGGAATTTAAGTTATCGAAACATATTTTAGACACTATCGGCTGCAATTTATATAATACACGTAGGTTGACGATGAATGAAAATTTGTGAACGATACCGCAGTCAAATACAAAAAAGTAAAGGCTAGTGCATAATCCATTCGACAGCGCGGGCTTTTAGTGCAGGTGGAGACAGCCAGTCCCGATTTTTGAGTACTAATGTCGTTATAGGTGCGGGAGCAACTCCTTTATGACCGAGAAGCATTCCGAACGAGTGTGTTGTTGTAAAAGATACATATTTACCTACGTGCACGCACCATGCACCGATGTCCAACTCTTTTTTAACCGTATACGTTATTATTGATTTAGTATCTTTTTTTTTTTTTTTTTTTTTTTTTTTTTTTTTTTCTCAGAAATACATACGTATATATTTTTTGTAAAACGGAATGGTTTTTCTTCAAAGTGAACTGTTATGACGAAATGGAAAAAAAAAGAAACAAAGAACCAATTACTTGTTATTCTTTTAATAAAGTTTATTGATCAGTACAATGAAAAAAAACTCGTGTGTGTAATGTTTTTCCTTTCACATATAATCCAATAATACTCCGTTGTTTTTTTTCAATTGCAGTGCAGGCTGTTACCTTATTAATACCTTTTATTAAACGCAACCTTTTATTTTCTTGGTTTGGTAAAGCAAGTTTGTTTTTCATATACTTTTTGTGGAATTTTTTCGAGTGCACTCGTTTGCCATACCGATCTTTGCTGGCTGCTTTTTTATTTGTCCCTTTGTCAATTTTTTTTTTTTTTTTTTGTAACACCTATGTTTATTGGAATTGAAATTTTCAAGTATAAAACAACCACTGAAATAATAACACAAATACCTACTACTGTTTACCTCGCAAATGGCGTTTGGCAACCCAGTGCTTTTAGAATTACGAGCCTTTGAGTAAGTATAATTTAATGATTTCTCAATAACACTTGTACTATTTATTTTATTTCATTTTTTTTTCAATGTTTGGCAAATCTTTTGATTGTAAAATAACGGAAAGAAAAAAAAAAATTACTCAAAATTAACTGCATGTTGATGAGATTACGCTAAATTTTAGAAAAATAATACCTAAATTCAAATTTATTCGTTAGAAAAAGTTTTTAAAATACATGTATGTTTGTGTTGCGCACAGGTATGAACAAATGCAATCACAAGTACCACAGCATGCCGGCAAAGACCTCGTCACTACTTCCATTCCGGCTTTACGGCTCGAAACGAAAGTCCAGTAACCGAAAATCGCTGTGCACCGTCTCATAAATTTTTCAAAACACTTGATGATCTCGAGCTTCTTTTTTCAAAGTAACAAGCGTTGTTATACTTGAAAAAGAAAGTTATAGAAAATTGTACGGTTTTTAGCCTTGTAAATCATTCTTTTTTTTTTTTTTTTTTTTTCAACACACAAATATAAGTAAAGTATCGATAAGTAATTGTTAATTAATTTTACAAATTTTTGTTGGTATAAGCGAAATGTTAACCATCGATTAGGGAAAAGGAGGAGAAAAAAAAATAATAACGCACATGAAAATCAGATTGTGTTTCTTTTATTTATATTTCCACCACACCCACCATTTCAAAATTTTTTTTTTTTTATCCACAAGTATTTCGGAACATTACCCGGAACAAACCATTCTTTGGAAAAATATTTGACACCATGAAAATATGACGATTCAACGAATTTTTTAGAACAGCAAACTCTATAATATATATCAAAGCTTCGCTGAATCTCTTATCTTTTTTTTTCTTTTTTTTTTTTTTTTAATATATCTCTTTTTCATTATTGAAACTCGAATAAATTATCTCTTTTTTATTTCCTCCATCAAGATCGGCGCAGTTTTATGCTCGCCATCATTCCTAAAATAATTATTATTTAAATACTGCGGACAGAGCAGTTTTTGTAGATCGACTCTTGTTTGTATGTTTATGCAATAAGTCTTAAAAATAATTTTTGCATACGTTTGTGATGATAAAGGTAACCTTCAATTGAATTGATACAGGAATGACGTTATGACTACCAACGTACCAACTCGCCCAATTAATCTTATGTCTTACGTCTTAATTAACTCTATCATATGTCTTTACAATAATTTATATCTTACACTTCTACGAATACAATAATGAAACTTTGGATACCTTAAGTATATTTAATACTTGGGACGTAAAAATTACTTCATACTGGATGATTAAAATATCAATTATGCACTACAGTACATAAAATGTAATTAAAGAAATGTACTAAAGTTCAAATAAAAGTTGAACCACACAAACAAAACGATATTATTGTGCAATCAAATAGATATACTAATTTTTGGAATACGGTATACTGTTGGATATACTTCTAAGTTACACGGCCTACTTGTTTGTAATGTTGTTCTGTAAGGTGAAGGTGTAATTATTATTGTTTTTGGCACTCGCAACCTCAAAGATCGCAGACGTTATTGGTATCGCATACTTAAACAAACGAACGATGGATCCGTTAATGAAAGAATTTTGCTAGAGCGGCAGAATGAAACATTCAAGTCTTTGAAAACTTGAGTGTAAGAGATGGTGAAGAATAATTTTTTTTTTTTTTCTTAAATAAGTCAGTTTTTATGTACAATGATATACAACAGGTATTGATGAATTACTCAATCATGAAAACAAGAAAATTCCCATTTACTTTAAATGCCACTCCATATTGTTAGTTAACCTTCGTATCAAACTATGTGAAAATAATTTCGCGGTTCGACTTGATTCAAATTACTTTGTTATAATAATAATGAAGAAAAAAACAATGTTATACGTCAAGAGAATAGTTTCATATTGAAAACATAGAAAAAGTTACAGTTGTCATCCATATTCAGAATATAGAGCTTATATATATATATGTATATATTATTAGATTTTGTCGAGAAAAATATGTTTGCTTTTGTTTTCATCGATTATACAGCATGTAATTATTATCACGCGCCAAAGCCACATCATCACATGACTGTCCCGACTCGCACGGCATATTTAATGCAACTACAAATAATGTTTATGTATACGCGTATACCTTTTCACTCCCATAAGTGGAATGTACATAATTTTAATTGCGCCTCTTTTTAGAAAGAGACAATCACAAAGTTATAAAAAAAAAAAAAAAAAACAATACAGGCCCGCGTCAGCTTATGAAAAATATATCACCGACCTCGTATTGTTCGAAATTCAAAAATACAACTGTGCGACACATTGCGAAAATCAAAAATCATCATCTCTGCAGCTTGTATTTCAGGAAAAAAAAAAATAATAATAATGAACTTTGAGAGTACCTCTTTCCGAAGCGGGTCATCCTCACCTTGTCCCACCCCCGAGTTTTCTCTCCACCAAGCCCTCGTAAAAGTACCCACGTGTGAATATAATATAATAGTAACCGGCGTACAAGTACCGTATCGAAAATCCAGGACCAGCCCGTCATCATTGCTTTTCGTTAGGTTGATCAAACAGCCCGGAAAAATAAGACACTCGCCCTCTCCTTTCCCCGTACAAACCTTCACATAAGAGGACACCTTGTAATCAACGCAGGTAATTATTGTTATCACGACCCGTCGCTTATCGCACGCCAATATATAATACGCATAGTGTTGGAGACGAAAGTGAGGAATCGAAAGAATTGGGATGTACAGATGGGGAGGGAATTCACTTGCTCGACGAGCTCGATATGGAGGCGCCGAGGCTTGGCGTTGGGCTGCTACTGCACGACCGGCTGAGCATCCGGTGCTGGGGCTCGGCGCTCAAAAAATTACCCGAACCTGCCGATCCCGAGCTCTCGATTGGCGGGGCCGAGCTGATCTCCGGCCCGGCCGGGCTCGGGCAGCGCCGCTGACTGCAGTTTGACACGCTAGAGCGCGCCAGCGTCTGCAAGGGGATGCGATAGATCCGCATCGGCCGCGCCGCCTCACCTGTTTACCGAACCATTTTTCGTACTTACTATGCTCCAACTATTTTTTTTTTTTTTTCGCTTTCGTTGACGGGTTCACAAGGGGTTGCGTTCTTGCAATGGAGAAAGAGAAGGATTTTTTTAGATAGTTCGGATCAATATTTAGCCATTCATGTGAAAGCAACGAGTGTATAATACCTCGGTCATAAAAAATTGTAAATAGTATACCCAGACGTTGGGCATGACGATCGTGTGGACGAGGTTGCCGTTTATGATGAGCCGTATTTCCATCGTGTCCGACGTGAAGGCGATCACGTAGGGGAAGGCGCAAGCCACGGCTACCGGCACCGAGTTCCAGTTGAAGTCGAACTCCGTGGGCGCCGCGCAATCGTCCGACAACTTTTGAAAGTGGCAGGTGTCTGGGGCAAAGTAGAGCGGTTATATTATTCACCAGTGGACGATTAATATATATCACGTGGCTCGGGATGACGGGGGGGGGGTGGACTTACTGTTGTAGCAGAGCAGGAGTTCGGGCTCCTCGTCCTCGCAGAGGTCGAGCGCGGCGACCAGGTGGGGCTTGACGCTGGCCTCGAGGTGCCGGAGACTACGGCTCGAGCCGTCCGGGTAGATGAGCTCGTAGTGGTGCCTCAGACCGCAGCAGACCGTCCACTCGCGTCCCGGTGTCGAGCTGGCAACATTTACGGACTGGACGATTAAAAGTGTTCATCTCGATGGATGCACTTTGGCAACAAAATCGAGCCGAAAAATCTATATTTATCCCCGGCACATACAATGTAATTGTTTTTTTTATTTTATTTTTTTTTATCATTTTGATTGTTGTGTAAACGCAAAGCTTTTCATGTAAATGCTATATATCCATCCCTATACCATATATTTGTATTGTTCGCGAACAACAGATTTATTAGCTCTTAGCCGTAGAACGTCGCGTGGATGGCTAAAATATGTGTAAGCGTACGTACACGCGGGGAAAAAAAAAAAAAAAAAATGTATATATATACTTACAGTGAGCTCTCGATGATCGTCATGATGGACGGCTGCTCGCTGGCCCAGAGCTCGTGCTTGAGGGGCATGAAGCCGTCTACGGTGTCGGTGTCCGCGTGCACGCACCACTGCGTGTACGCGGCGCTGTGCTTCCACTGCATCACCGTCAATCTCCTGCCTACGGCCACGCACTGCAACAATTTTTCAAGAGCTCAACCCTTTGTTTTCAAACTCATACTAATAGGTAACCCACTGATGCGCGCACACGCGTCGAAATTTGATTTGATCTCTGTGTCGTGGTATAATTTCGTACACATGGAGAGACACGTACCGCGTTCGTCATTATACTCGTCCCGCGGCAGCGTTAATCTCGAGCGGATTATACAGCCCGTGCCCATAAATTGCCCAAAATCGCGAGTAAGAGATACCCATCAGATGACCTATACTGACGAACCTAAGAGAATTGTGTTTCTCCGGTTTTGGCGTGCGGCTGTTATAGTTAAATCCGCAGAGAAAAAAAAAACGGAAAAAAAGGAATTACCATCCTTAGGTGCGAGCCACCGGGTCTCGTGAGGCAGTAGAGGTGGCAGCCCTTGGTGCGCTCGAGCCTGCGCTGCTTCGTCTGCGCTCGCGTCCTCACGCTCGGCCTGCGCGTCCTCGCAGAGTCGGGCGGTGACTCGTCCTCCTCGTCCTCCTCATCCTCCTCCTGCCCCTCCGAATTACCAATCACCGAGGACGCGCTGTTATTGTTATTGTTGTTGTTGTTGTGGTTGTTGTGGTTGTTGTGGTTGTTGATGGTGGTGGCAGCGTCGGCCTCGAGTTCGCTCAACCGGAACACGTGGACGTTGCAGTCCTTGCCCTTGTCGCCCGCCCGAAAGAGCAGGATCCCGTGTTGCTCGACCACGTTCAGCTGCTTTATTTGCACGCTCTTGTCGAAGAGCAGCCGGTGCGTCATGCTATCTGCTTGGGAGGGTGAGCGCGCTAAAGTTGAATACTTTTTTCCCCTTTTTTTTTTTCCTTTTTTTTTTTTTTTTTTTTTTACCTTCGACGAGGTAGGTGCCGTTCTCGCTGGCCAGTACGAGCCGCCCGTCCGACCATATGTCGCCGCAGACGACTTCGTAGGGAAAATCCGGGTAGATGCACCTCGGCTCCCACGGTCTCGGCTTCAGGGGACCAACGGTAGCCAACGATGTCGGCGCCAAACCGTGCACTATGGCCTCGAGCTTCAGGGCTTGGCCCACCCGCACCATCTCCACGGCACGCGTCTCCTCGCGCCTACGCCCCGGTGTCTCCACCACGTCCGACAAAGCCCGCCGATTCAACATGCTCTGGTTTTATTCGTTACGTATGTAATTATTATTATTATTATTATTTATTTTTNGATTTTTTTTTTTTTTTTTTTGCCTTTTACACGTAAATAACAGTAGTTTTTATTGAATGTTTTTATCATGATATGCAAGAAAAATTTAATTAAATCATTCATTAAATTTTTTTTTTGTGAAAAAAATCTTTACTTTGCCATGTACGGGATCAAGGGGTCAATTTGCTCGTTTTACCCCGAGATTGAAGCGCACATCCAACACAATACCGCGCAATCGACATGCACGGGCTTATTGCTATACAAATGACGATTCTAATCTAATGACGTGATCGACTAATCGAGTTCATTGTTTACTTCTCGTTCGTCGATCCGTACCGACTCATCCGAATGACATTTTCATTTGCAGTCGCGCACACGCGTACTATTTGTGCGGGGAGAAATAAATGAATCGCGGGCGTATGAATTATTGTCGAGCATAAAACGCGACTTGTAAAACAGGAGTAAAAAAAAAAAATCCCGAATACGATTCGGTTTTGCACGCGTGGGTGGTAGGGGGAGAAAAAAAATGGGATCCAGCGTGGGTTTGGCTGTGGAATTTGAAATGTAAATTAATACACGTGACCTGGAACGGCGGCCCGCGGAAAGTTTTTCGGGACAAATTCGATCATGGAAATGCGAGGTGCAACCGAAGGGCCGTAGAGGGGTGGAAAAACAAAATTACATCCATCAAGCGCGCCGATGTGACGGAGGAAAGAAAAAAAAAATCCATTCCTTCTTCCGAAGTTGGGGTACTCCCTCCCCGCCTCGACAAGAAAATTAACGGGAAAAGAGGGTAACTCACGTTGCTCTTGCCGTCTTGCGTGTGCTCCTGGTACATGTCCCTGAGGAGCGTGTCTAGCGTGCGCTCGCGTTTCCTCGAGAAGGTGGGCGTGTCGAAGGTCGCCTTCTCGCCGTTAATGAGCTTGACGAGGAGAAATTCCCGGAAGTTGTTCGCGTCCTCGAACAGGGGTGGACATGGCAGGCTCGGGCCGAACAGGGGCACGTTCTCGTCGCAGTAGATGGCGATCCGCCAGCCTGTGGTCTCCTCGTCCAGGCTCTCGCTTGTCACCACGGCGAACACGTCTGCAATTGCACGTCTTTTCGCTATTATTATATTTCACTCCGTTGGATCTTTTTCCATCCTCCGGCCATGTCTGACGCTGCCGATCCAAGGGTGTTACAGTCAAGCGTTTACTGTAGCTGAAATTCTTATTTCTCATCAAATGCGTTACAGTTATGGTATTTATTCGACGACTGACCCAAGGAGGCTGTATAGAGAGCACAACATCTTACACGCTTGCGTTACGCGTGAGAATCTGTGACAGCCAAGTTTTTTTACTCTGCAGCCTTTTTACCGTTTATTCCGTTTTTTCCCGTTCAAAAGTGCCTTGGTGCACCACTTGGACTAAGTTGGTCTTCCAATAATTGTCAACACAACCGCGATGTATTTTATAAACAACAAAAATGTCGACTACACGCTCCAAACGTGATGTTTCGAGCGTAGGATTTTTCTTTGTCCCCCTTTCGTTTGGATTCGAGGATGTAATATACTGCCACGACAACAATAAGAAAGATAAGGCTGCCCGTACGTGGATACTTTATAATCCTCTTTGTTACGTCGAAAAAAAATGAATATCCGACGAGGATTACAGAGTGAAAGTACAAAAGGAGAGAAATTTTTTTTATTTTTTGAGATACCGAAGAAATGTTTGATTTAACGATTGAATTTTATGTAGTTCGAGCTTTGCCATCCGGAATAACGTGCGACGCACGAGAAGCCGCGTCAAATTCAATGAGATCCTCTCATTGCAGAGGCCACGCAGTGACCAGCGATGACGTCAACTCATTGACACACAACTCATGGGTATCATGGCCGAGAGGCACGCTTGTGTACAATATGTATGTACCCAGAGCAGAATATACTTCATATATATGTGTGTGGGGGCATTATCGGCACTTACGTGTGAATTGGCTTTTGATGCAGTTGGGATTGAAGGTGTCGAGTAGGCTCGCATCGTCGGTGTAAACGATGTTGACTATGTCGTTGCCGATGTGACGCTTGCGCTCGAGCTGCTGGGGATTGTCCTTCGAGTGGGGCAACAGAGTCGACACGTGGTACATCACCTCGTGGCCCGCGTACACCGTGTATACGCTCTCCTTGCCGGTCATGTCACCTGCGACATTTTTATCATTTCGCGTTTTTTTTTTTTTTTTCGATGGATTTATACCGCCCGTTCTTTTGTCATTTTTGATTTGAAATGCATCACAAACGTTATTCAAAATTATTCTACCGGATTGACGGGTGCCCTAATCTCCATTTGCTCCGACCTTTACACGTATTTCACTTTACTGTACGTTAACATCCAAATTTAACAATCGTGAATCTAATAAAATAAAAAAATAAATAAATAAAAAATAGAAAACACGTATTTTACCAGTCTCGCCGTATAGCCAATTTGTATTTTTATTCCAGTGATTTCGTACCTTGAATCGTTTGAGAGTATTTTAAAAAGTACGTTTTAATTACTTGAATTCGTGCAGCTAAAACAAATAACGTGATCCTACGCTGAGGGACAGATGGTCAGCTCGTTATTGTTCGACGAAGGCTACGATAGCTGTACGGTATTACTATTATAATGTTTATCCTGCTATCTTGCAGATAATGCCAACAAAAAAAGGTTGGGAAAGGCAATCGACGAAAGTATAACGTAGGGAAAAAATTGTTTGGAATTTTGATCGCTCACCTTTCACGTCGAGTCCACCTCGGAACTTGTCCCAGCCTCGCAGTCGAATTTTTTGGCCCAGCACCTCGAGGAACTTGTCGAACCCCGGACTACCGGTTTCTGCGTTTTATGGTGTCAATCATGTATAATTTCAATTTAAAAAAAAAAAAAAAACGAATCAAAAACGAGTCTTTTTTTCAAAAGGATTTCAAAGATAAATAATAATAAAAGAATAAGACGAAATATTAACCATTGGACAGCATCTCGTCGTCGGACATTTGGCCCTCTTTCGCGTAGATGACCCCGAATTTAAAGTTCACCGAGCCCTCTTGCTCCTCCAAAAGTAACAGGTCCTGAAAGCACACACAAATCGCGAATGTCGAAAGATTTGTCCAATACGCCAAAGTCACCATCACCACCCACCTTTTGAATTTCGGGGGACGTGACCTCTCTGGGGCCCTTTTCGAGTTTCTCGATGCCAAAGTAGTTGCTGAAAGAAATCGAAAGCTATATGATCCACCTATCAAAGCCCCCCTCCCCTCCCCCAATATGAGACTCCCCGAACGAGAAAAAAATATTTACCTGAGGATCTGCCTGACGGTCATCGACCTGTTGGACGAGTACGGCAGGGATATCTTCTGGGCGCCCTGTCAACGGAGACCCGCGCGTTACTGTTTGTCCCAAGAAACAACAAAAAAGAAAAAAAGAAGCTCACCGTGCGCCGCCAGAGTATCACTCGGTAGTGAGGGACGCACTGATCGCCACCCTCGCTTATCACCACCGAGAGGAACAGAGGGTTGCGCTCCTGATCCGAGGCCACGTAGTTCTGGTGCACTGGTCCGAGCGAGCCACGTGTAAAAGAAAAAATCGAGTAGTCGGGTAGCCCAAATGAATCGGGAAACAGGTGTCTGTCTCCGCGGTGATGGATCACAGGACAGGATAGGTAAATCGAATGTGTTGAACGCGTGTAAATGACAATCAACGGAACAAACGAAGCGAGAGAGTACACGAGAACGTGCCTTTCATATATGCCACGTATATATACATACGTGGTGTATACATACACGTACACGTGTAGCGCCGGTCGAGCAGTAATTATTATTAACGCTCGGCCTCTACGCCCCGTTTTTATGGTTCGGCCGTTACTCGACTCGCGCTTCAATATCAGCTATCTCTCCCTGTCCGTGCAACATATACGTACAGCAAACTGTACAAAAAGGGCCAAGCTCCCGTTTCAACCCCGCGATTACGTGTATATACATACGTGGAGCAAAGGAAGAGAGGTAGGGGGGGGGGGGTATTTTTCGAAAAGGGTGCACAGAGAGTGTCCTCGATCGGAAATATGTATGAGGCTGAAAGCAAGCAGAGGTAGGTGTGCGGGGAAAAAAGGGAGACATTGGGGACGTAAACGGGGGTGAAATACTCACGTTTGCCGAGGAAATACTTGAAGTACCAGCGCGTTTGGTACTCGGGATTCTCCAGTACCGGGGTGCTCGGTGACCCGAACATCTGCGCACACGCGGTTACCACGTCATTATACACATACGTAATATATACATATATACCATACAAGACGAAGGACTCTGGATCTCGTGTGTCGGGGGATGGAAAAAAGGGTGGGGGGGGAGCGCGTGTGGTATTTTTCCTGGTGGGCGCGGATTCATTGCCGGCGTGTTTCCTCGGGCGTACGGGGGGAGGGAGAACCCGTGCAGGCCACTCGGGTTTTCACGCTCGGCTGGATCACGTGCTCGGCCGTTTTATTGTCCCGGCGACGCTTTCTCGCAAATTATACGAGTATAGGTACGTGTCGCAGTTCCCGAGTGCAGCTCGGCCGGGGCTGCCTTTTTTTTCTTTTCTTTACGGCTTCGATTTGCCGGGGCATTGGTGGACGTTTCAGGAGGAAAACGGATTCCGAGTATCGGTCGAGAAAAAAAAAAAAAAAAAAAAAAAACCAGGACGAATCGGAGCGAAAAACGTAAGAATATAAGGAGGACGTGGCTTCGAGGCTCGTTCTTATTATGTTTAATATGAAAAAAAAAAAGTTTTCAAGCTCCATACGCGGTGTTCCCTCCTTGCTTTTTATATAGAGTTGGCTGTGCAGTGCGTGGGCTGACGGCTGCCAGAGATTACCAAGAAAATCCGGCTTACGCCCCCGCGCGTTGCCCCACACCTGCATTGGTATTATGATGTACTTGGTCGTGGCAGCGACACGGAGAGAAAATAAAAACTCGGTCCGAGAGTTGTTTTTTTTTTTTTTTTTGAAGAATGAAAAAAATAGAGGTCCCACGGCTTATTCGTATACGCGAAAGAAGAGAAAAGGAAAAGTTGAATAGAGCGCGTAATCCGCTATTCCTTTCCCCAATATGGAATGTACCATATATTGTATACTCCAGGGTATGCCAAACCGAAATTGCTCACCTCCATATATGTGGTACATGGGTGCGCGCACACGTATAGTAGTAGCTATTGACGCATACTGACCTCCTCCTTTTCGCCGGGCGAGTCGCCGTTCTCGACCCGGAAGCGCCGGCCGTCCATGCCATCCTGCTCGATTTGTGGTAGCTGCGAACATAATCGACGCCCCTTTAGCTATATATAACCACAAGTTGGTATACCTAAGCCCAATACTTTCCATCCCGTGTATGGGCACTATATATATACCGATCTACAGCGTAAAAAAGCCGCTTTACCACCCGTACCGTTGGAGTATTCGGTCACCACTTTTTTCGGACTCTTTGTGCTAATATACGTTAATATCTTTAGGATAATGGAGCATTTGGGAACGTTATTTACTCGTGTCCAAAGTCTTGTGTAAAAAAACATTTATTTTTTTATTTTTATGATGATCACGGAATATATCGTTCTTTTCGCGATATACAACGATTTAAAGTATTCGATTATCATGAATATCCAACTTAGAGGATAGCCATTTGTAAAATGAATGTCCATATAAGCGTGTGGCGAAGCATTGTATGGCTGGAAATAAATAATACAACCAGGTGATACTTTTTGAAAGAGGGGAAAAAAAAAACAAAAAAAAACAATGAAGTAAGAGATCACGTTCTTCAAGAAACAAGATGACAACGCACGACGTGACTTACCATTTCGACGCTGCCGTAGCATCTTCGTGATAGGACGCCTCGTCGCGAGACCGTGTCCGTCGAAGATCTGCAAAATAAAGCAAAAAAAAAAAAATCTCTCTCTCTCTCTCTCTCTCTTTCTTCCACATGTCCAACTGCTGTGATGCAAGCAATGAAATAGTCAATCGCAAGATTCTCAGAGCCAAGGTTCCGATTCAAGGGATACACAAGTGACTTTTGTCACTCGTTCGCACGAATAAAGCTAACGAAGCTGCCGTTGTACGACCGTCGAATCCATAATATGCATGAGGCTGGCTGTATAAGTAAAGGCTGTATATACGTGTACATCAGCGGATAATACCAGACACTGCGTCCTTTGGACGGGTTTAATTGAAAGAAAAAGGGTAGGCAGGGGGATACACGTGTATGCAGATCCGCGTGAATATACATATATACGTGGGTACTTTGGGGGGAAAAGAGGCTCTCTTCTCGCGAGTACTTTAGCTGCCGGTCTCTCAAGAATGTTCTACTTTCGGGAAAGGACCTCGACTTTGACACACACACACACACCTACAGGGTATAATATTAAATACCTACGTAGATAAATATAAATATGTGTGTGTTCACGAGGATCCATGTAACTCAATAATGCATCTCACGTATATATATGTGTATCGTGTTGGGTGCTGTCGATACACAGACGAGATTTTGACGCGCAGTAAGCGTGTCCTTCGTGATTTTCCGATCGACTGTCCGCGTTACGTACTTGTTTATATTACACGCAAGGGGTGCAAGCGCGGAATGTTTGTCCCGTTGTCTCGTGTGCTTTGCGTATATACGTAGGTACTTATACAGGGCTTCACTGCTCGCTCCTTTATACTGCAATCGGACGCGCGTTGGCGTCGCTTGTTTAGTGTTCGTCGATACACTGTACTCGTTGCCATTTGCACCAGTTACCACACACGTTGTACATCTACCTATATGTGTGTGTTACACCGATGATTGATGGTGAAAATGTAATTTTCGCGCGGTAGGCCATCACGGGGTATGTCGATACTGCAATTGATTGTCACAACTTGATGCAACGAGGAAACCCGTGGTGCACCGAGAAAAAAAAGAAGAAAAAAAATATGTGCGTATACTGTACGTTTAATTTTCTCGAGATGCTTTTTTCCAGAGCGAGCTCACGAAAACAAGCAGCCAAAAGGCCTCGTGGAGGGAGCTTGCAAGCTCTACCGCCTCTCTTTGACCCTTTGATCGAAAACAGGCAGGGTTCGTCATGCAAGCCTTTTTGCCCCTGCATTTCTTATTATTTTTCAATGGCGGGATTAACAGAGGGCCAAGCCTTTGTACCCTTCGCCTCGTACCTGGAATATACACAATACACGCGCACGGGGCAATAAGGGCGGTGGGGAACATCAATTACGGGCGTGCTTGGGGGCTTCGTGGGTGTGTACAGTTGCGAGTTTCTCGGTAAGATTACCGAGTTCGAGTTTCAATGATGCCACCTACGCGCCGGGGCTTCCGATACACCAGCATGGTAGTGGTGCACTTGACACGCGCTCCTACCCGTGGATTAATTAACTTTGCCCGTGGCACTCGTTTTTTTTTTTTTTTTTTTTACGAGGCTGCGGCTGCTGTTTGCATTCGATCTTATAAAGTGTTTCATCTTGCTCCCGTGTTTTTTTTTTTTTTTTTTTCCTCTCCACCCAATCGAGCGCTTTGCCCGTAAAAAAATTACTCCCGCCCCCCCCCTTTGTGCATTGTAATGGCAATCGTAAACAGAAGCCACTTTCTATGTGTAGGTGTATATAATTTATCGTTCCCCTATTCTTTTGTGGTACTTTTGCGCCACAGCTTGAAATGCAAATATATGTATACGAGCGATCAACGCTTTTATTCCCCGTTTACAGACGCCCCGCGGGGCCGTTTTTCCCTTTTTTCTACCTTGGCGTTATTTTTCTTTGCTCCTATCTCGCATAAATCACAACTGTAAAAGGCGCAAAGACCACGGCAGTTCACGGAGCACTTGTCGCGACTCTCTCTCTCTCTCTCTTCGCGGAACCACCCCTACTTTGTTAGTTCCTGCGCTTTGACCTCTATAATGCACAGCATAATTGTTTTCCGCAAAAAGGGGCAACGCGTGTCCTCCTGAAATTAAAAGTGCAAGCCCCAACATAGTCTCGTGTATACATGTGTGCGTGTGTGTGTGTGTGTACATCAATTTGAACGTTCAAAATTACCTGTTCAATTACTCGCTCGTAGGGGGACGTTATCGCAGGCTGCCCGTGAAAGCTCGTGCGCAGTTGCGTTGAACAAATTTCCGCGCTCGCTATCGCTTTCTGGTTGTAGTGGAAAGGGGCGAGGGAGGGAAGCAATTTCCACGTCGTACTTATCAGCCGGTGCCTATATGAAATTTCAAGTGCGCCCCCCCCCCTCCCTGGTTATGTATATGTATATGTATATCGTGCGTACACCGCCGTTGCGTGTGAATTTGCGCCTCGGCTTATAATCGACCGGGCGTCCCTCCTCCTCCTCCTCCTTCCATTCACGCTAATTTCGATTATGTATTAGGTGGTGTGCGTATACCGTGTGCGCGCATCAGAGGTGTATACGGGTGAGCGAGCATTAATTATTCAGAGCGGCGTTGTTCGCGCACGCACGCACTCGTGCACGCACGATGACATGTATGCGTGCTGTTTTGTTGTATCTCGGTCAAGTCCTCGCTACACGGGTCAACGTGTTTTACACAAGATAGAGGCCTAATCTTCGTTCCACGTTGGTTGGCCTCTTTTGAATTGCTGTTTTTTTTGTTTTTTTTTTGTTGTTTTTTTTTTTTGTACAAATGTTGGTCTTGCGTGTGGAAGAGTGTGATGCTTTTTCTCGAAATCTGTTGTTTTACTTGTGTGATTTTTCATTAAAACTTGCGCTGAACGAACGTGACGGCCTCTAATGCCTTCATTTCGAGAAGCGGGGCAATAACTGAGGGGGTCGTACTTAATTGCTGCAAGTGAAGGTAATTGCTTTTCTTTTTCATTCTTCCGTGTACAATTGTAACAACAACGACGCCCAGCTCCCGTGCCAAATGACGCCAAGGCGCACCCATTTTTAACGAAAGTTTAATCTTTCATCTTTCCTTGTGATATTGACCCACTAAAAAAAAGGGGCAACGCTGGCACTGAGCTTTTCGAATGTTTGGCCGTTTTTTCGGTATTTCACGAGTGAAGTGTTACAAAATAATATCTATGGGTTTTTCCACAGTTTTTACCCTACACTCTTTTTTTTTTACCCAAAAGCAAAAGTTGAAAACCAGAGGATAAGCAGTTTCGTGCTGCCTATAGCTCGTGCAATAGTCCCCTGCAATTAAACACAGATGAATGTTTACGCTACTTTGTTTTTTCAATGAAAAAAAAGCCATACTTGAAATTCAAAACCGAGATATTGATGTTTTTTTAAAAACTCCAAACCTTTTGTTTTCCGTACAATGTATGAACTATATCTGCAAAACCGAGTTCTCGATGCATTTGCTTCCAATCGCCCATCCGGTCGATCGAAAACAAAATTCGCAAAGTCCATCCGCAGCAGAGTCTTTTGCGACACGCATCGAGAGAGACAGAGTCGTCGGAGCTTTCGACCCTGTTTCGAAATTGGAACGACGCGACGCCGGGCGACTTTCGTCGCGTGTATAGGTATACACGTGTGGGCGCCGCAGCTGGGAGAGGTCACCGGAGGGAAGACGAGCGGAAGCAGGAGGATGGACGAGGTAATATTTCACTCCCGAATCGAGGAGCTTTTTTTATCCTTACTCGGATCGTTTTGGCGTATTGGCGTTCGCATACCTTATATTTTGATACATCCATGCATGGTCACGCGATCGAGGTGTGTTTGGTGATCCTTTGATTGTCGTACGTGTCTATAAGTACGTACGGACAAAGAAGACTACTTGCTTCCAAGTCAAGCGGCAAGTGCCAGCTACGTGAATTTGAAAACCAGCCAAGTCCTACTTTCCTTTTTTTTTCTTTTTTGTTTTTGATACTCTCTTAGGTCATGGTACACATTGTACGCAAACTGAGACAATGAGGGGACCTTTACATTTTAACGACTAGCCCTTGAAACTCATGGCGGTGGTAGAGTCCTGAAAGTTGACTTGGAACGAGAGTAAAAAGCTCTTGCGATTAGATGGACGGGCGAAGCTTGATCCGTTTTGATGCGAAAGAAAGGTGTCTGGTCTCGTGGCTACGGATGCCGCGAACAACGTTTCATCCAAGATTTTTTCGTAAACAGGTAACTTATCATGTTTCAAGTGCTCCAGAGGGCGATGCGTTATTTACCGCGGCGCCCGCAAACTTTCGAGAGCCTCCAAAGTTAAACTTCCAAGAAGAAGTCCCGGATATTACTTTCCCTCCGCCCGACTCTTTACCCGCTGGACTATGAATTTTACGCAATACTTATGCATGCGCTTCTAATTCTTTCTCAAATAGTGCGCCTTTCATACAGTTTTACGTATCTACAGACTTGGACGCAATTCTTTTTCAAACATTTTGGGAAAAAATTTTTTTTTACTCTGCATAAGAGTACTCACTTGGCTGAAACCTCTGTCACCTTAATCGTGGCTTATGGATGGTTCAAAATTATGAGAAAAAAAAAAGTCCCCATGGTTGTGTAAGTTTTTTTTACAGCCACTCTGACGAACTGTGGTTTATATATGTACATGGCATAACGACGGCATTGATGTGTGTGTTTTTCTGCATGTACATGCTATTCGTTATTGGCATGTCAAAAGTGCCACCTCAGATTTATTGTGAATCAATCATTTACACATCAATGAAAACATCTTCTTTTGCATTGTTTTTTTTTTTTACGTGTATATAACAATAGCATATAATATACATGCAGTATAAAACAGCAAAGCAGAGCTCGTTATACGCACAGTTCGTCAGAATGGCTGTGAAATAAAATAATAATAATAATAAAATAAAAACAAAAAGTTGAAAAAAATATCAGTACCCAAGTCTAAGCGTCGGGATGAAGCATCTCTCGGAAGCTTTAATATTTTAATGACACACAGAAAGGAACTGAGTGTTTTTTTTTATTTACCGTTATTATCATCTCCGCAGTGAATTGTAATTAAAAATTTCAACTTGACGACCCAAATCTCGAAAACTCATTATAAAAGTAAAACCAAGTTAAGTGTATTTATTAGAGTCTTATTCTCCCTCTATACCCGTTCACCCGAAACGTTAATATTTAAGGTCCAAAGTTTGATAAAGATAAACACCGTAGCAGAGTAGCGGTACATTCGTCATCCCAGCAGCGTGAAATTCAACTTTTACCCTACAAATTTATATTACCCGCAGAACTGAAAGTCGTGGCGGAGATCATTCGCCTTGGGGGACGCGGTTGGCACGAAAACACGTTAAAACATTTTTTTCTTCAATATTACGTCCAATCTTAGTTACCATCGCGGGTTATCTCTTCAGAGGATCAGCGTCGTCGTCGAGCAATCGCGTGGTGGTATACATTTTCGAGAAATTGCCAAGTTTTCTTTTAATACATCAACACGTAAGTAAGTACACGTCTTTTCCAATAAGCATTTTTGTAAAATTTTGTATGATTAAAAAAGTTCAAGTAGTAACACTCGAGTTTCGTCAGACGTAAAAATCGTTTTGGCGTTATTTCGCTTTAAAGTCGCCTCAATGCGATTTCTCGCGTGTGTACATGTACACTCTAGACAAAAATGGCTCGATTCAATTCAAGTAGGCGTGTGTACACACACACACGTATAAATAAACTCAAAGAACGAGAGACCGGAAAGTTTATGGAGCGCAATGAATAGCACCTCTTATTCTTCTTCCACTACTACTTTTTTTCATCTCTTCACGAAAATACCCTCGTTTCTCAGTGCCAAGTGCGCTCACGCCCTCAAACTTGGGCTATACAAAAACCCACGATGACCCAGTGTTCTCTCTCTCTCTCTCTCTCTCTCTCTCTCTCGATACTATTACCCCGCCGCCCCCGAATCATAAGCAATTTCAGCGTAAAAAGTAAAAAAAAAAGAAAAAAAAAGTCACGAACCAGCCCTTTATTTTTTAACCTTAACTTTGACGGCTGGCCCCCTACCTCGTTCCCTTCTAACGCTATCACGGCCAGCGTGTAAATATCTGGGTTAATGAGAAACGCGCGGTAGTTCGCCTCAGTACCCTCTTACTTCAACACACACGCGCTTGCATACACATGCACACGTCGTTTGCGGTAGGTGGGCTTTTAAAGACTCTCCGGTATAGCTGATGTTCGCGCGCACGTAACACCTCTGAGGCGCACGCACGTATACACACTCGCCCGCTCCCGTGGTCTTTTCGGGCTGTTGATGATGCTTCGCGTAACAAATAAGCGGGTAACCTCGATCGAAGAGAATTTTATGATCACCGTGTCACACACGAGCCCTCGATTCTTCACCCCGTGCATGGCATTATTTGCCAGCCAAATCTTTGTTCCCGAATCGAGCGAGTTTTCAAAGGGTTTTCGAGCTTCTTTTTTTTCTCTCCGAGTTTTGCAAGCAGACACATTAGGGACTGTAGTGGATATCGCTTTCATTCAATTTTTTGCGAATATACGCAATGTATTTTTCATTCTAAACAAATATTGTTCAATCACTACTTATAACACAGTGCTCATCAAAATTTTGTCCAGCAAAAACTTTAAACGATACAATTGGAAAAAAAAAAAATTTATTTATATGCACGAAAAAATCAAAGTATTTGATATTTGATTTAAAATGCTTTACAAGTTAATACGTCTTATTTGTCAAAGAAAAATTTTTTTTTCTCATTATTTTTGTATAATTCAGCTCATGTTTGGCTCTGAAGCATAATAATAAATACACAGTCGTATCTTTGGATGCGTCACCGGGAAACGAGAGCAATACATTTTTTTTCTTTGTTTTTTTTTTTTTTTTGTTGTTGTCCGTGCATCGGAAGGGACCTATAAAACTATAATTTATTCAGCGCAGGGTAGAAACGAGTCGTCACAGGCACGATTGTATATACTTACGCGTTGTAATGCACGGGCGCGTCCCCCCCAGACGTGTGTAATGTATACAACACCACCCCGAGATTTACGAACTCCATAAAAAAGACCGAGTGTGTACCTATTCCTCCCGACGCCTTTCAGATCTACGCATCAAAAATCGGTGGAGTGTATAGGTGTGGGGGCGAGGCAGGGAGGGGATCAAAAGTCCACGCACCCTTTGTTATCACCGCCGTCACGTCCGACGAATCAGCCAGCCAGACGTTTTTTACAAGGAAAGTCGTTCGTGGCGGATTGTTCTCCTCCGCTGCAGCGCTTGAGCTTTTCACGGCTTCTTTCCACAGCTGCCGCTTTGGTGACACAGACCAGAGGGTGGCTTCAATGCGATTTCGGGTTTTTTCAGGAGAAACTCGCCTTGTTCCTCCCAAAGGCTCTCAGAGGTACTTTACACGCGTGTGTGCGTACATTCATGTGAATGTTCTCGGGACGCATCGACTTGGAAAACCATCGAGATTTTCTCCCAGCTCCCGAGCTTTCGAAGTACTGCCTTTATACGTTACGTTCCGAGTCGAAGGTCCTTTTGTTCGCACGACAACTGAATTCTCTTTGAGCAGGTGTACAAAGAAATATTTCTAACGTTACGCGCCATTCCTGTCTGGCAAACAAACAAACAACCAAACAAAAAAAAACAAAAAATCGACGGCTACAAGTAGGTGCAGTGTATGGAGTATACATGAGCAACGAGTGACGTCATCAGCTAATGACAGAACGACGAGCACCAGCATCGGGTGGTTAATTAAAAACTCGGCTGGCTTTTTTCGACTTTGTACCCATGGGTACCTGTACTGTGTGTCAAAAGAAAAGGTCACGTATCGGCGAGCACAGTTGTGCCGTTCCACTTTGACTATCCACGGGCGTGCAGAGAGTCATCGCACGATTGCCGCGGTATTAGCCTATTATCTAACGAGGCTGTGGGAGAACCGGAGAGTATATGAGTAAAACGTTGTACGGTTGCTGCATTTGACGAAAAAAAAAAATATGTATAATTTGGCACACACAAAGTTTCTGGTATCGAGCGGCTCTGCTGTTTGTGTGCGGCGGGAGGGCGTACTCGGGTCGTTGAAATTAATGGTCCTTAGAACTAATGATGGCCATATTAGCTGCTCGTGCGTGCGTGTACGTATTTACGAGAAATTTTGAGAGGGTACGTTTTCACTCGATACACTTACGGTATAGGCGAGAAACAGAAGCGGGGCTCTACGTGTACTCGCCGTTTGGTACAAATCGCTCGATTTAAAAAAGGGGGCCAAACTGTAGTTGCATGTACACATACATGATCAGATTTGAAGGCTTTGTAACATGTTTTCACTCGGCTTGTACACGTATCGATTAGAATTTGATTTTGTTTTCGCCCCGCGGGAAGATACTTTCTCTCATTGATGATCGTATACAGTGTTACCGGTTATCAAATAGAAGAAGCTCATCGATAATACGTTTCAAGTGTTTTTTATGTGCTCAATCAATTTGATAACAACATTATAGCTGATTATTTCTTGATGATTTTTTACTCCATACTCGCTTGATAATTTGATTCGTCGTTGAGAATTTTTTAATACGAGATAACGCACCCTTTGAATGCGATTCATGAAAAAAAAAACAAAAAAACCAACGTACACGTGGTGGCTGGCTCGGCGATTGAGGTGCCTCAGTTGGGACGAGGTGAGCACGGGCATGTAAACGGATCTCGAGCGATCCCTCACGACATTGATGGTAGGTATGCCCTCGTCGTCGCTGCAGTCGCGCTCGTAGCTCCCGGGATTGGCCGTCCCGACGCTGCCCCGTCTCACGCCGCGCCTCTTCTCGGCGTACAACTGCTGAACACCGGCGGGGGGTGACAGACAGCCCGGAGACGTGGCGCCGCTACTCCCGTTGCTATTGTTCGCCGAGGAGCTGCTCGAGAGGCCCCTGAGCCGCGAGACCAACTTCATGTCCAGGCACAGCATGGCTGGGCGAACTTTACGTGCCGGACCAAGCACCGCCGCCCCGCTGCTTATTCCTCCTTTGCTGGCTGTCGAGTATAGAGCTTTTTTTGTTACCCACAGGCCCAAGGGGGTCTTGCCGCTTTTGCGCGCTCGACGGATGCAGGGGGGCTTTCTCGGTTCGGAAAGCAGGTGGTCGGTGGGGCTCCTTTTTTTTTTCTCTCCTCTAACCTTTTCTGATACACTTTGCGATTGTTTTTCTCGTGGTACACATTACGGTAATGGAATATACTCCCTACGGTGGTACACAGCCTCTGGGCGCTATTATAACCTTACGGGCAAGTATAAAGATCTCCTCCCATCGGAAAACCGCAAGTAAAAAAGGGGCGAGGGGGGGGGGAAGGAGAAATGAACTTATTGCGCGGCTTAAACCTGATTATAACGAGTAATCGCAAGAAAGGAGCGCAAAAAGAGCAGTAGTATACCTTTGGACGGCCATATAATCCAATGAAAACGCTTCTCTCTCTCTTTTTTTTTTTTTTTTTTTTTTTTTTTTTTTTTTTCGGTTAACGAAGAAACTTTTTACTCGACCCATATTTTGCAAGGTCTGCACCCTCCCAACAACTTATTTCTCCTCGGCCTCGTGGCTTATGGTGTAGTTCTCTCGTTCCACCTATCACTTACTCGTGACCTCCGTTTTGGTAACGCTACAGGTGCTCAACTGATACCGCACCATCATGAGCAGAGAAAAAAAAATATATATATTTGTGTTTACATTCACCGATACGGAATACGCGTGCTCACGCAGGTAATTGAGAAATAATGTGTATACTCTCGAGCGAATGTATAGGGGGTATATAATATATAAGTACCTGTACAACCACACAATGAACCGGCGCTCTTTTACTCACCGTTTCTTTTTACTTTTCACGCGAAGCGACCTCCAACCACTGTCCCTCTTTTCCGATCTTTTGAATTTTTTATTTTTTTTTTTTATTTTTCTTTGTCGATTACGTTTTTCTTTTGCATTTAAATTCAGCTTAAAGCTTATACAACGCAAGCACTGCCCCCCCCCCCCCCACTGAGCGTCCGTCTGTCTGTCTGGCTCTTGAAAAAAATATTCAATTTCTCGGAAAATCGACCTTGCTCAAAACATTTTTTTTTTTCATACCTCATTTTTTCGGCGTTTATTTCATCTACCAGCTGACGCGCGAGGAGACGGCCCCAGATCCGAGTTTGGCTGTATATATATGTATGTCATGTTTATATAAATATAAAACATGTATACCCAACTTTTACCGATATTCGCGTTTTGTACGTATTTTTCTCGCGAATTTTGTTTTCTCAGCACCCCCGACCCTCCCCGGCCCCAATTGTATTTATGTGTACTCTCTGGAGTTTTCCACATCTCCCTGCATGTGCGATGTCGAAGGTGACGTCTGAATATTTCAGTGCTCCGAGCAGGGAGTCTTCACCGGTGTCCCATTTGAATACACGTGCGGTAACTCGATTTTGCTCGTTTTTTTTTTTTTTTTTTTTTTTTTTTAAGCCTCCAAAGTCGGAGAGAAAGTCGTTTCAGCGAACGATTCAGAAAACAGATTCGGACCTGAAAACCAACATTTTTTTTTTTTTTTTTTTTTTTTGACGCCTGCTCACGGCGTGATGTTTCCATCAACACATCAACAATCTCTGTATGTGCGACGAGTGGCGCTTGGATTTTCTCGACCTCCTTGGGGATCTCGCCAAACTTGCGATTTCAAAGAAATTCCCGAAAAGAAAAAGCACCCCTACTTCACCAACTGGTACTTGGTGGTAAAGCGCTTGGATTACTTGTAGCGTCCGCACGTCAATACAAAGATAGTTTTGCGCCGATTTTTTGCACGAAACACGAAAGAAAAAAAAAAAAGAAAGCAAAAAAATTGTTCTATAGCTTTTACAGTCACATGTGATACCTGAATCGCGTCACATCATCGATGGAAAAACTTTTAGCTGCTGTATGATTGATTTCGCTTTGGCTAAAAGCTCATTTATCACGACACGGCTTTCAATGGGGTTTGAGCAAAAGATAACCATCAAGTACATTGGGTGCACCAGCTGCACCAGTTTCCATGTAAATACCGGCTTTAACGTATAATAATAATAATAATAATACGGGGAGCGAGCAAAATTTACTTTCGATAATGTAAATAACGCTGCACCGATAAATCACCGTAATTAATGAACGCAAACGGCGCGTGGTCTACTTTCAAGATGCGTGTATAGGTATAATACTCATTTACACACACGAGCAAAAGAGACAAATGGACGCGTGCATGTATACACATGACGTAGGCGAGGCGCGAAAATTAATCTCCGGCGTAGTAGTAAGTATACAAGGTATATATATATACACGGAGCAACGGGTGGCATTTGACCTCCTCGGCTGGCCACGTGTACACGTATATATACTATTTTTTATCTATTGTTCAATCGCACTTGTCGAGAGGTGCATATCATTAACCGGCGGCCTTCGAGAAAAAGAAGCCTCCTTTGTTTTTTTCTTCTCTCCTCGATCCCAGCAATCAAGAAAAGAACAATAGGTCGGCTGAAAGGCCGCTCGAATTAATTTTCCCGCCATTACGTCCCCCTCGAAAGAGACTCTTTCAAAGTCGCGCACCCATTGACGAGAACTCGCGGGCTTCCCTTTCGTTATATCTCCCTTTATTGCCGCGTGTACGTGTAGGTACACACAACCTCGAGACTTGGTGTTCAGCAGCCACGGCGGTAACTCGTAAGCATTGGACTGATGATTAACACCTTTAGCTCTCGAGAGAGAGGGATTCCACGATGTACATATATATACGAGTTGAGAGTGGCGTTTGAATGTTGGCGCAGCTCGGAGCGTAGCATCGATGAATTACTTAAGCGCGCTCTCCTTCGTTCTGTCATCGGCATGTTCCCGCGAGAGCTCCAACTCACACAGGGTGGACAATTCGAGAATGGAGAATAATGTCAATATATAGCTGTACTGTATTGTATTCCGCTTCTGTTCTTAGCCCCCGATAATCACCTCGTCTCTCTTGCCCTATACGATCTATCAGTGCGTCTTGCATTCACACGTTTTTACACCTCCTTTTTCTTGTTTTATCCCCTACATCATCGGTTTTTCATTGATTCGTGATCCGTGGACCGTATACTCGTTTGGTCGGTGAAATAATATACGCAATTGTACCCACATGGTGTACCGTAAATATACCATCCCTCCAGCCGCTGCGGCATGCAACACAATTCCGAGAAGGTCCCTTTAATCCATCGTGACGACTCGAGTCACGAGCCATTAACCCGCGAGCGAGAGGCCATCGGACACGAGCTAAAACGACCACATGTATACATATTCCGTTAACCGCTGAGCTGCTAGCCAAGTCGGATGAAACTTGGTTTATTCAGCCCCGACGCATCTTAAGGGGGCTCCTCGACTCCGGCGTTCAACGAGGCGTGTGTAAGAGAGGACGCCGCTGGCAATGGCCAAAAAAGAGTCCCTCCCCCCCCTCCGGGGAATCAGGGGACGTCGACTGTTTGTATGGTACTACGCGGTGTCAACGAGTTTGGATCCAAGCGATTCGTTATTTGTTTGTTTTCGCTTCACTGCCCGATCCATCCATACCCTCCCGAAGGGGTGCGACGACGGCGCTTTCGAGAAGCAATTATTGTCGGCCCGCTGTACACGGCAGGGTGTTCGGTGGAAGCGATTTTGTTGTCCCTCGGCTGGCGATAAACACGCAAAAGCAACCTCATGAAATAATGGCTCTCCCGAGAAACCGCGTTTCACTATGCGTTTGCTCGCGCGCGCTCTGTGTAGACGGGGGAAAAAAAAAAATAAATAAACGCCCCACGCGTGAATACACACACAAATGCCGGGCGAAGCGAGTTGGGCTCTGCTCGGAATAATTTATCGAAGTAACATGGGCACGCGCGTGTCTTGAGCCCATCAAGTGTAGTACACCTACGCGTGTTTATCAAGTGCAAACAGGTATGATGATGGAGCGCGGCGCGTATTACTCAAAGTTTGACTAGTACTTGCTTTTGGTGTTTGCGAGAGAGAGAGAGAGAGAGCGATGATTATGTAATGCAGCACGAGAACAAACAACAATAGTCGCAGGAATTGAGTCTTCATCGATTCGATTCGGATGGACGCACCACAACAAAACGCATGACCCGCGTGACGGATTTTGTGATACAATCGGAAAGGGAGGGTATACAATTGTATGGCTGCGGGGGTGGGTAGAAAAAGAAAGAAATAAACAAGCAGCGAAAATTCGTACAATATGCGCGATCGAATCTAAATCAATCCGAGCACTTTGCGAACAGTTGGAGCAAAGGAGCTTTGCCCGCGTTCCATTTCCAGTAACAATCGATTGTGCACGAATACACGGCGAGGAGGGTTGGGGGAGGAGGAAAGAAAAAGAAAAATAAGGAGGCCGAATGGAGAGGATGAAAGGCATATAGGGTGTAGCGGCAGAAAAGGAAGTAAGGGGACTACTCTGTCAGAGTCGATTATTGGCCAACGTGAATAGGTGCACGGTGAGTCCCTTCCGCTCGAATCAACCGGGTTCGTCTTTGCGTCTGCACTCGGTTGGTACTCTTTTGTTGGCACCTACAAGTTAAGGTATTTTATTCGTGTGTCGGGGATAAGTCAATTTCAACACTTTTTTTTTTTGCTGTCGACGGGTTGGGCTGAAAGACGGAAAAAAAAAACTATAGACGTCTTTTTTTGAGATTCGTAGGTATAGATGTATCAAATTGGATTACGGAATAAACGAGACTGACACGGGAACAGCATTTTTTCTTTTCTTTTTTTACTTTGTTGGAACCAGATGTTTACTTTGCTTTATTTTCCGACTGAGATTATCCCAATGGGTTCTCAGAAAATATCGATTGGTTAGCTTTTATCTATATCTCGTGCACAAGATACAGAGATACAGCACACAAGAGCTAAAACGCAAATGTACTGCTATGTTTCAATGAAAAAAAAAAAAAAAAAAAAAAAAAAAAAAAAAAAAAAAGTATTTTGATATAACGTGTAACAATAAACAAGTTTGGACGTTTGTAC